TATATATAAATAATAAACAGTATGTGTATATGTTGTTGTTTGTATATATATAGTAATAGTGCCTCTATGTGAATAAAATAAATATATAAGGGGTTTTCGGTTTATCCTTTTATTACGGGTTCAACATATACTCTCAGATATCTATATTCTATTATTTTCAGGAATTTATTCTATAAATATCATAAACTGCTTCGACTGTGATGTATAGACCCCCATTTGCCTAAATAAGGATGTTTTTTCATTAAATTAAATGTATATGCAATGTGTATTGATGTTTTCTAATTAAGCAGATACACTGGTTACGAAAAAAGACGAAACTAAAATCTTGGTTTTAGAGATTTCATCATAATATATGCATGTTGAGAGCTTCCTCTAAGGTTTGAATTTATCAAAAAAGGTTTCTAGCACATCAATTAATCGGTTAAACGAATAAAACTGAACAAAACGATAATGATGAACCATGATTAATAACTTTCAATAAGCGAAATTATTGGGTAGGAAAACACTCACCTTAGATATGGTTTACAGAACATTCAAATCGTTAAAAAATATGAGACAAATGTCGTATTCTGTATGGTATTTCTGTTCGGAGTTTTTTCAAGAACGCAAATATATATATATATTTGTAAATTTCAAGTACATACAAATACATTTATATACAAAGAATATCTATACTTACCACCTGCTCAACAAGCGAAGCTTTGAAAGAAAAAAGCAATAATATTATGGCTAATGTACGTCATGCGAAATCTGTGACCTGAGAAACCTAACTAATACTGAAAGCAAACGAAGTTTCCGATCGCTGAAATAAAAACAATCCAAATATATGGCTTTATCTACGTTTAGAAAACCTGCAGCATTTTTGTGTACGATAGCAATCGGTAACCCGAAGCCCAGCAGCGCTTTCGTACAAGGATGGGGTTATGGACTTGAACGGCAGCATTTTAGAGGCACTCTATTGCGAGTATTTCCTTAAGGTTCAGAAGGCCAGCATCGTTTCGATCGCCGTATTACTCGAACTGACATCAATCGTTTTTGTGGTTTATGGCTTTGCATTTACGTGGACCGCGACGCTGAACCTGCTTTTGTTGATGCTGCTAGCAATTGGTTTGCTAGGCGCCATCCTGCTAATTGCCTTCTTCGGTGATAGATACTTATTTGCCGTTAGCATAAGTGTGACCGTAATGGCGTGGATATTCGCGATTGCCTCGTTGCCTTGCCCTGTTTTCTACGGCAACCCCTCCTTCCGCGGTTCGTATATGAAGACACCGAAGTTCAGTGTGCCATCGTTGCCACCACCAGCCGCGAATTTTTCAGGTGCAACAGGCGTCTGGGAGATTGTGTTTGTGCTATTTTTGTGCTATTCTATGATTCCATTACCGATTTGCTATATCATCGCGATGGGGACTATATTACCAGTTGTACATTCAATCTGTGTTTTCTGCTATTGTAGGATTACCCCACCTACGATTTCTTATCAGGTACGGAGAAGACATTTTTATTACATTCACACTGGCAACGATTTTTATTTCTACGGCATCCTTTCTGAACTGTATTAAATACAAATAAGAAGACGCTAAAAACATACATAACGAATAAGTAAATCCTTATCGAATATGAAAACTAATCCGTTAAGAAGTAACGCAACCTTCAGATAACAATGTAAAGTGTGGCGTTCAAAAATTAACGAAGTTTATAGATGTTAGTTTTCTAACAGTTTCATTCCATAGAAAGTTGTGTTGTTTCCTGTATAGCCTTTTCTGGGATCGTTTACGTTTAGATTGTCTTGATAATATACGCTCAATACTTCCGTCAGTCTGTAATTGAAATAGATCGGCAACGATGTTATACGCCAATGAGTTTCGTTCTAAGACCTATGCTCAATGTTTCTATGCGTTCTAAATATGAGTACAGTTCGGAGCAAACGTGGCGATATTTCTGTGCGTCAATGTAATTGGTTTAACAATGCATCGGATATTAGAGCGAGGTATGTGTAAGAGCTTTCTGGATATCCGCAACAGCATTCTAGTTCGCATGGATATGGCTGCTGAAAATGAACGTCTCGAACGTCTTCTCCTGTCTATCCTGCCTCAGCCGATAGCTGCCGAGATGAAAAAAGACACTGTGAACCCACGCATCATTGGCGAGTTTCATCGAGTCTATATGCAGAAGCATGAAAGTGCGACGATCCTATTCGCCGACATTGTTGGATTTACCGTTCTATCGGCGTCGGTAACTCCACTGGAGCTTGTCAACATATTGAACGATCTATTTGGCACTTTTGATCATCTCTCAAAGGTATCTATCTGGAAAAATTGCGCATTTCCTGCCTAGCGTATAGCTTGACCTATTCGTTTAGCTGTATAACATAAATATATCGAGTAGATAGGTTTTAAACTCAGAGGCGCAGCTACCGTATACTTTTTCTCCACAAATCAGATAACGCTGATAAATCGATATAATTAGCAAGAAGCACTGGGGTGTGATCGTGACCAATGAACTGCCATTGTAGACTTACAGTTGCCAACCGATTGATCTGTTCCTATTAGGAACTTTCGATCGATTTGTTGCGATTAATGGGTGGACTGTTATGAACCGATATTAGGAGCTTCTATAGAGTGTATACATAAATAAAAGCCCTAACTTAATCTGACTACGTATTTTTCTATTGTTTAACAGAAAAACGGCTGTGTACGAATCAAGCTTCTAGGCGATTGCTATTATTGTGTGGCTGGCCTTACCAAAGAACGGCCTGATCACGCTCTCTGCGGAGTTCAGATGGGCCTTGATATCATACAAGCGGTCGCTGAGGTATCCATTTGATGTTTGTTCATGATTATAATCAAACATGGCTGGCCCGATATACGTGTTTGTACAAATAGCTATCACAGTGATTGCGAATAACGGAGACTTACGAGATGGGTGGTGAATATTTGTGATATTTAAAGGCCATTTCCATAGGAGAACTGAGTTCGACAAACTTCAATATTTATGTTCTTGCCATTTGACATAGATAAGGAAGCGTAAAGATATTCCATGCACTCTAAACATGCGTGTTGGTCTTCACACCGGTAAAGTTCTCTCAGGCGTAATTGGACTTCGGAAATGGCAATACGATGTTTGGTCTAATGATGTTACAATTGCTAATCAAATGGAATCTGCGGGCCAACCCGGGTAAGCAATATTTCGCTGTTCCTAGCAGACTAGAAGTACCATTCGTTCTAATCTGTTTTGTACATCTATGATAGATTTTTTTTGTACCTCAATGCAGTGTGCGATGCTGTCATCCTGTAGCTAACGATTCGTTTAGGTCAGTCATTGAGAGCGTGACTTATAAAGCTGAATTTCCATTCTTTATTCTGTCCCACAGTAAAGTGCATATTTCAGATAGCACATTCGCTCTTCTTGAGGGAGCATTTCCCGTCGAACCCGGCCAAACAAATGCAGTTCTTAAACGATTCGGAGTAGTTAAAACGTACTTCATCGTGCCGCGTCCTAATTGTGAAAAGATCTGTTCAGGGTCAGTGGATAGCCTAGATTCGGAGGTATGTATAATGCTTAATACGTATAGATCAGTGGACAATTTTGTTGGGTTTGTAGATCGAAATAAGCAGCTGTAAATTTTGACTTTCAGTCATCAGTTTTATCCGAGGTTAATGTAATAACCGTAAGCTGCCGTTGAATTGTTTTATCAAAGCACTCATTGTTGATACGAAATTGTTTCTTAGTAATCGATATATTTATTTAACGTTTTTGTTACAGGGAGAAGATACGCTGCAATCACATGAATTGTATGTACCGTTCTTCTTTTGATATACGATGACTGATGTACCCATCACGCCTTGATGCGATCAAATGTTCCATACTTTTTGAAATTATTTCTTTAATCATGAGTAAAATATTAAGCAACCGTTATTTAAACTGAAATTAGGGGAGATGCGCGCGCACAACTCACGGATGTATCACGTGCCTCTCTTAAGCTGGCGATCGAAGCTAGGGTGTTACAACAAACTAATCCACATCTGATAAACGTTTGGACACTGGCTTTTAAGGAACGTAATACAGAAAAAAAGGTCGGTATCGCAAATAGGTACACTCAAAACTCGATTCGTTGTGACCAGTGTTGTAGACAATAAGATGCGACCGTCTACACAGAAAAGTGACTGCGTTTATTTATGCAATATAAAAATGCGCTCATATCATTACGTTTACGAACATTTTTTCGGTATTCGACGATTGACGTTTCTCAAATGGGTATTTCTACCGCCATTAGAGTCTCTTGATAAGAGACAGTATTTGAAACCGTTTCAGTTCAACCTGCACCAAGACGTCGAGTACGTCACGAGTATATCCTGCTTACTGTTTGTTCACGCTTTCCTCAATATATTGAGTCTTTTAATGCTGCCCAGGTAAAGTTCACATTAACTAATGAATTGAAATCGGTTTTGTTGATTGTACCTCATTCTTATTTACGTTTATCTCCTTAATTATATTTTGTACCTTATTTTTCAAATAAAACGTGTGCCAATGATCGTTTTTAATCAGTGTAGACGAAATAACCGCTGCCTGTATACTCCTACCATCAGGCTATACATCGAATGTGTTGTTTTTAACGTCAGTCGCCTGATTTATTGCTTCTTGCGACTACTTAGGACTGAACTACTCTGGCTAATTTCGCTACTGTTCGTGCTGTGGGTCGTTCTTATTATGGTGGTTATCTCAGAGGCGCGTTTCGAAGGACACTGCTTACAGATAACCTACTTTTCTGTTATACGCGTACCTGCGTGCACAATCGCAATTTTATTACTGTTTTTCGCGGTTTTTCTTAATCTTGTAAGTAGCCTTGGTGTTTTCATCATATTGAAATGCCGTCTAAAAGGATTTTTATCTATTTCCATTTCGAAGCACCGCAAGTACTTGAATATTAATAGTGTGGTGTAATTTTCAGCTGACATGTTACCCTGATATAGAACACTGTTCACTGACGACACTGCCGGATTCCTACCTACTTTTGCCCTTCCTAGAAAGAGACCCGTCCAGGTCAGGTACCAGGCATTATGGTATATGTGAATAGCGCACACGTTCTGAGTGGCTGAAGCTGCATCTGTTTGTTTGTTTGGCTTTGTGTGTTACTAACTAATGCAGAAAACCGAGCTAGCTTGAAATATGCCGTTAGAAATGATGAATTTATCATTACATCACCGTATCTGTCAGCTGTGGTACCTTCTTGCGCCTCACATGGATGGCTTTTACTCTTAGCTAATTACCTGTGCCTTGGTAGCATATAACTGTTACTCAATTTTATCATCTACAGCCCTTTTCCGACCATCATTTAAAAATTATTCGTTTTGAATTATGGCTTCGAAACGAAACGAAAAACGTGATCATGCTAACAGCTAATAATGAAGTCAGGATGAAGTATTGAAACATCTTGCACTCAATGGTTTTCTCGGAATTTTTACTTCTCATCCTGTGTTCTACTGCTTTTAGAGAAGTCAAGATTCCCATAGCTTGGTTGGTCGCTATACGACTATAAACATCCGCCATCTAGCCTGACTGTACATTCAACATCCAAAGGTTTATTAACAGATAATCGTCTCCGTTATAGATACAAGCGGAAAAATAATTTTCACAAATCATTCACAATATTTACAGGAACTGTTCGGCGCCATCGTACGTGTTTCTCGTTGGCACGTTGTGTATAATCTCTGTGGCAGTATTTCGTATGACGCCATTCCTCGTAAAGGCATTTCTCCTGTTATTTCTGTGCTCGTTCTTTGTTATCTTCGTCATGATCACGCATCCTACTTTGTTCGACTGTTTCGACGAAAATAATGAGTATGGTTTAGTTATTGCCAGATACGTGTCGCAGTTCCTACATAGAACTACACAAGCTGATTGTAATCGTAACGTTACACGCTACGTTGGCACATTTAGCTTCCTCTTACCTAAATGTCAGTCGTCGATTTCTGATGTTTCGTAGAATTTACATATTCGAATTTTTTCGATAATTGCAGACATAGAACATGACTGGTGGGGAACCAGGCTGGCCAGAGCGGCAATGTGTAGTCTTGGAAGCTACGTCGGCCTCAGCCAATAGACGCGCTGCAACAAACATTTCTATCTCTCCACCAGAGGGAAAGACAAAGCGAAAAAGCGTGAGCAATTATTTCAGTGCATCAGTAGTAACTATGATAGTGATAATAATAAAAGTAATGACACTTGCCGCTGTGGCCGCAGGTGTCTCAATATCTACAGGTCAACTCATATATTCAATTAGCAGCTATTATTCGAAAATCAGATTTTTTTTTGACGAATTCCGTATTTGAAGCAAATTATGATCGTGAACGCTTGGTACTGGTCATAACGCGCGTTTTTTCAAATTTGATAGGGTAAATAGCACTACGGCTGCGCTTAGCCCACTGAAACTGACGGGAGCACAGAGGTAACTGTTCACTGAAACTACAAACGGTATTCGCCATAGATTAACACATATTTGCGTTTGCGTTTCTACTTCTCAGCCCCATATTGCCCTCTCGTTGCACCGGTATAATCTATCTCGCTGCAACTTCGTTAGCTGTATTACTGCAGGCCAGACAGGTAACCTGGGTAAACCTCAGTGGTAGAATCTTGGACATTCAAAATATTAGTTAATATTGAATTAAGGTGCTAGTAGTTGAGAATTTGATGTTTACATATTGAACACTATTAGTATAGCCTATTATTACCGCCAGCTACTATTGCTTAGAAGTTCGAATCGATAACGGTTTAATTCCGTTTTTGTCGTCCCGTTAACGGTTAGGCAGAACTAACAGCACGTCTAGACTACCTACTACAGTCGCGAACCAATGACGAACAGCGAGAAAGGCACGAGTTAAAGGAGGGTAGTCGAAGAATCGTTTTTAATCTTCTTCCAGCCCATGTCGCTATCTACTTTCTACTCAGAAAAGTGAAGTCAAAGGTAACATACGAGTCTACCATTATCAAATAATGATGTATCATCATAGCATGAAGGCACGTACATACAATTCGTATATTCGCTTTTCTTTTTCTTACAGGATCTATATTACAAGGATTACCATATGGTAGGAGTTCTGTTTGCTCGGATCTCAAACTTCGCCGAATTTCGCATCAAACAAGAACGAGCTGACCTTGGCTTCGACTGCCTACAATTTCTTAATGAAATTATCGCTGAGTTCGATAAACTTTTAGACTGGGATCACTTCCAGGCTATCGAAAAAATTAAAACGATGGGAGCAGCTTATATGTGTGTCGTCGGACTTATTCCCGAGTATCAGATAGAAGTGGTCAGTTAACATTCTTCAGAGTGCAATATTTAGAGCGTTTTGAAGTGCCTTTCACGTCGTAAAACCTAACGAAGCGTTATAGGCATTCAGTTACAGCCCCGTCAATGGAAAAAATAGTCGCCTGGGTGAACCAGTATCGTCTCGACGTAATTGTATTTGAACAGACATTTTGCCTAGGCTATCACGGATTAGGATAGCTGCGCAAACCAAGGATAACGCGAAATTTTTGTGGTGTCCTGTTGAGTCAGAATGCAGCATTATTTTTGTCCGTCGTTCGTATAGATTAAACGATGGCCAATTGCGAATGTACGATCCAAAAGCTTTCAGAGAAGTCAAACGTATTCTGGTTCAAAGACAATGGTAACAAACGTGAGCACATCTTTGAATCGGAGTGCTGCTCTAAGTAGTTGCGTTTTCTGATCCATAAACAAAAAAAAGAGCACGTTAATTTACGCATATATATATATATATATATATATATTAGTACCCTTAAATCGTGATAGATCCATTCCGGAGCTCAGAACGATGTGTATCTAACGCGTTGACCTTTCAGAATGACCACCGATCAGAGGTAGAGTATATGACAATATTAGGTGATTTCTTCTTCATGATGCTTCAACGACTTCAAGAAATCAACAGGAGGTCAGCAAAATCCTTCCGTTTGCAAGCCGGGATTCATTGCGGCCCGGTGGTGGCTGGAGTAATCGGGTCCCGTAAGCCACATTATGATATCTGGGGAAATACAGTTAATGTGGCCTCCCGAATGGAGACAAATTCACGTTCTGAGAGCTGTCTGGTTACAGCCGACGTCTACAAACTCCTTAGTGACAACTTCAAGTTTGAAGGACCTTACCGAAAAATCGTTAAGGGAAAAGGCTCTATGGAAACTTATTATTTGGTGGCCGCTAAGGCCGAGAGAAAAGCAAAATAAATGTTTTTAAACTGACCGGTCAAAGTGTCAAAATTTTTTTCTAGATGATGTGCATTAATCGATCTACTCTGAATACTAGCATCCGCCCATTTATATGTATATTTGTTTGACCCAAATCAATTCCGTGAAGTGGTGAGACCGTGGATTGCTGAGGTTTTACCTGAGAAGGGCTACGCGAACGATGGAGCCGAATGCTACTTGTCCGGTGCAGTATTTTTACCAGTTTATAGAGCATAATGTTAATTTATGCAAATTATTTTTTTCAGGATCTGTGAAAAATAGCCGTTGACAATTTTTGACTTTTGCGCCAAGGGTGTCAAGGAGTACTGAGAAGCTGTTCATTTTTCAAACTCCATAGTGAAATCGTTGTAAAATTGGATTCATGGGAAAAATTTCATCTTTTCACAACTTAGCGATAAATCTTAGCTTAAATGGTACACAACAGATTGTGTACGATTGGAGGTAAACCATCAGCTTACTTTTCGACAGCAAATACTTTTCCTGGGGAAAGCAGTTTTTTTTCAATAGAAAGACATAATATATAACTTATTATAATAATAATAATAATAGAATAACTTGCGGTTTCATTGATCAAATCTGTCGTGTCTATAGGGAAGCTGTAGAGGCTGTATATAGAGAGGTATAATTTAATAGAGTTTTCGCCAAAAAGTGATCTATTGGAAAAACTAACGTCTATGAAGGATATCGTGTTTCGTCAAACACAGTATCTTTTTTTTTTTTTCACTTAATTTATTTCATTCGAAGTATTTTGTAATACTTTAGATCTTCGTGTACCAAAGTATAATTAAAAAAATTACAAATAAAAACTGCCGTTCAAGGGCTAAGATGATTTTCTACATAGAAGATTTTTGCTATAATTAGGTCTCAGCCAGCTGCGTTTTTAAATCGGTTTAAAATAGGTTTTTCGGGGTAGAGAAAGCGAAAATCGAACGTGGCACTAATTTCCCTGTAAACGAGTTTTTCAACGAGCTTTTATTATATGTTCGTCGGAGAGGTGAAGGGGCAAACGTTTTAACGAGACAATTTCCTGAACTTTTTTCCTGAGGTTTTGAAAAATTAGAGAACTTTTTTTCTATGTGAGGTACTACTTCGTCGGTGCCAGTGCTTCATAACAATCGATAGGCTCCAACGAGTTGAATAAAAATGCACAATGTCTATTTATGGCTAAACTGCACATTTTGATATGAAAAAAAAACAATGAAATATAATGAATGATTTTATACAAATATAACACTGGTATGAGCAGCTGCTCGACAACAATTAAAAAGATATGAAGGAACCATCCTTGAACGTTGTACGTTTTTCAATGTTTACAAACAACATTGAATAAAAAAATAAATTTCCATATTTGACTTTGTTGCTATTTAACAGTAAAGTGGTAATCCATGCTGAAAGGGCTTATAGTTCATACCTATGAACTATATTTTCGAAATTTTCGTGGGTCTAAACCTTGAGAAGAATAAGATGGGCAATAAGCCTGTGTGTATTACCCCGTTGTAGTAAAGAAACAAAGTTGGCCAACGGAAACGACTTTATAGATGAGGTAAAGTTATCTGTTTTTCTGGCCCGATGCAAGGCCGCACTGCGAGGAGCGGATGTTTGAAAATCTATATTCTCCTAGACCCGTTTTGAGGAATTATCACCTTTTCCAATGACTGGCAAATAAATTTTAACAATGAAGGAGATTGTCGAATTTGAGTAGGAAGAAGCAGGTTACTTGTAAGATAAAAAAGGCTTACCACAAAAAGTCGCAATGAATTCACGATAAATTAACTTATCGGTAAATATTCATGTGAGAAATGACGCATTTCTTGTTAGTGGAAAGACGGAAATTACTCAGGCACATAAATGCGCATGCATTCATTGTACACGAATATGCTTATTAATGTATATGTGACAGTTCACACTATCATGAGAGACGAAAATATAAATAGTTTAGTCCCTATTGAACCGATTGCAGTACCAAACTCCTCTCGGGTAAGCTTCGCAAAGGGCTTCTTATAACCGAGTAGATATCTTATCATCGAGCGGAGAAAGGAACGAAGGGGTAGTAAAACACCACAAACTTATAGCATAGGTGCAAACATCGCTGACAAGATGATCGTTTGTGTGTCTAATTAGTACCTACTGTGTGCCCCTGCCGTGAGGACGAATCTCCTCAGACAACTTGACCACCTGGGTTACAATGGAAAATCAGGCTAAAGGTGATAAAATTGCCATCATTGGAGGGGGTTTGGTAAGTTTTTATCGATAAACTTGTCACTTGGCGATCATGTTTATTTGGTTTTGTGATTTGAATGGTCTTATTTTAATATTTGTACTTGTTTTGCTGCTATGCATGGGGAGACAACTAGAATCGAATACCTCCCTCATGAATTATAAACAAAGAAGTTATATAACGGAAAAATATGTTTGCAGATAGTTCTGGATGATTTTTGTTATTCAGTACGCAGAGTGAGGCATATTACCGGTGAATGGAATGAGTAAATCGTAGAGAAGATGACTTCAAAAATATAAAAACTGTCAGTTTTTTGCTGATTTAGGTTTTCTATTAGCTCGAGCTTAATCACATCTTAAACGTGGCCGTAGTAAACAAGATAGTATATAACCTTACAACTTGGGTCACGATCGTACCAAGTAGAAGACCCATCCGGCTTCTTTCCTAGATATTCCTAGTAGTTTTTAAAAATACTGTCTTTTTTTTTATTCATTTTTAACATAGATTAACGCGAACGGCTTGACATGATAGATTAAGCATGTTTCTGATCTTTGACGTGCCATGTGGACTTTCATTCGTAAACGCTGTTATCGCCGTTGAGGCAACCCTACAGGCTACCCATAACGAGATCACTCATAGGGCTCGATGTTTCCTTTTTTGAAGAAACTGATTGACCTTTACCATTGTGCGTAAGATAAGTTCCGAGGGATCGCAGACGCAGTGCATACTATCGGTAGTCTTTGCAGTATTCTTTACCTTTTGTATATAAAACACAATTAAGTGCTGAAAATTCTCATTCTGGGCTTTCGTTCTTTTTTGAGCGTAAACTTGATGTCAACATAAACCGGTGACCTTGCTGCAAATGCTTGTAAACGAATTTTTTGTTGGTATTTTCATTATTTTTGGTACTTTTCATGAGACGAGGTAAATCAAGCTAAAAAAAGTGACCATTCACTTATCTGTGAACACAATGTATCTTACGATGAGTATCTTAGAATGCACTATTATCTTAATTTAGCAGAGACATTTAGCATTCACTCATTGACGAAGCCGTTTGGCAACTTTCACAATTATATTAGACAGACGCATCAAGCCCAGCGAATATATAACCAGAGCCTCTTGTTGTAAGAAACCCAATCATCAAGGCTAACGCTCTTTGTCTACTCTACTTGAGCTTTATAGATTACACATTTATCATTATGACCCAAAATTAGGCTAAATCATTCCTCCTAAATTTTCTCGTCGTTGATTTAATAACCTACATAGGCCAGCCGCAGCAAAGTAACTGCAAAACTCCAGAGGACGATAAACACTAAGATTGACGAAAGTTTCAGTCGTTTGCATTGACCCTTTTTACAGGTGGGCGCTGCATGTGCATGCATGTTGTCTCGGAGAGGGTTCAAAGTTGATGTGTTGGAGTTACGAGAAGACCTGCGATCATTACAGACTTCCGAGCTGTCAGTAGGTCGTTCCATCAACCTCGCTCTTTCCGTTCGTGGTCAGGAAACATTGCGACTTCTTGGCGTAGAAGATGAAGTCATTCGAAACCATGCGATTCCCATGCACGCCAGAATGATTCATGGTCTAAACGGCAAGACACATTCTATCCCGTACGGGAGAAAGGGACAATGCATTTACTCTGTAGGCCGAAGGCATGTACAACACATGCAATGCACGTTATTTCTCTATATCTGTAATAATAAAAGATATTTTTCGTCAATTTTCAAGGTCTTAATATCCTTAAAATAGTCATGAGGCATCTCTTGTCTTATTTCTTAGTTCGAATCCAATAGCCAACGCTTTGCTTGACCTATGATATAAAAAAAACAAGTTACTCTGATTGATAAGTAGATTTAATAGATCAAAAAGGGAACAAGATAGAAACGTGTATGTCAGTCTCTTCAGCAGCACAGGCATGATACGATATGTACTGAAAGCTAAAATTGGAACAAGGGTGCTATGTCGTTTCGACTGCTAGTGTAATATACGTTCATCGTCCTCTTGTAAAGGTATCTCCTGGAATTATTATTAAACCGCGCCGAGCAAGATTCAAATGTTCGACTTCTGTTTCGGCACAAATTGGTACGAGCTGAAATAGAGAGGGGCAAAGTAATCTGCAGAACGACCCGGGGGGAGGAGCAGTCTCTTGGAGGTTATCGTGCAATCCTTGGCTGTGACGGCGCATTTTCCAGGATGAGGCAAGACGTCTTACGGCGAGGTAGATTCTACTTTGAACAAAAGTATATCAAACATGGTTACGTCGAGCTTTGTATTCCCCCAAAGGTAAAAAAATCCATAAATGGTAGACTAGAGCCTAGGTGCAATGACTTCTTTAATAAGAGTTCATAAACTATGTGTAAATGTCCTTATAATCTGAATTTGATCTTGCTTTATGATAAGTCTCATTTACTCTTTTTTCTGTCTAGTTTGATTATTGCTTGTGACTTCCCCTTGACTGTAGGACGGCAAGTTCCAGATGGCTGTTAACTTCTTACATATTTGGCCTCGCGGGGACTTCATGATGATAGCTTTGCCCAATCAAGACGGTTCCTACACTGTCACCTTATTTATGCCTTTTACTAAATTCGAGGCCTTGAGTTCTCCTAAGAAGATACTTGAATTCTTCTACAAATATTTTCCTGATTCAGTGCCACTGATCGGAGAGTGAGTACCATTAATTTGATGATAATCAATCAACTGTTAATGATCATTACTAGTAGGACGGAAAAGCATTTTTGAGTTTGAAAATTTTCTTAAAAATTGCCGTTAGATTTAGTCACGAGTTCCTACGAAATGCGTTCTCTAGCAGTACATAATACTGTAGAAATCTGGTCGTTCTATGAATGGTTTTATGTTTCTTCGTCTTTATCGTGCAGAGACATTACTAATACGAAAAATCTGCGGGCAGGGAATCTGTTGTGTCTACTCTAACGTCCGTCCCTGCTGGATCTCTCGTATCGATTAAATGTTCACCTTACCACGTCAAAGGACGGGCATTGCTGTTGGGCGACGCTGCTCACGCAATGGTCCCTTTCTACGGACAAGGAATGAACTGTGTGAGTACTGTCTATACTGGAAGTTTACAACATTTCCATTTACCTAAACATCTGAAACCAATGACGGAGAAGTGGCGTCGGTCGTCTCCATCTCACAGTCTAGGGAATCCTCTCATATGGATCTGCCAACACTATTTTCGTCCTATTGCTTAGCAATTAGTCAACGTAAATTTTGCGATTTTAGGTACATATCTATTATTCAAGTAAGGTACCATTTTCGACTTCGTTTGGTGTGAAATCTGCAAATTCTTCTGCCCAGTTTTTCTGGCCATTACATGGAAATTGATTGTCCTATTCAGCATAATGAAACATTTTTCTCATATAGTTAAAATGCAGCCTAGACGCCAGATAATATGAGAACTATATATTTACAATAAATGTAACCAAAGCAGGAAAACTACTGTTTTAACCTTCAATGGTATCAAGGATATTTGTTGTGGACAATTAACAGAAGCTGAAGCAATTTCGCCTGTTGTGATCCAGCTCGTCCCTGATGTATCAGCCGTCCTCTAGCGATTTTCCTTAAAGGCTTTGGTTTGTGATGAAATCGGTTAAGCGTAGTTGGTAGTATCTACTGTCAATGTTAGCCAGTGGATGCAGGGGCAGTGAATTAATATACTTGAATTGAAAACTAAATAAATGAAATAAAGGTTAAATTTACTTACGGTATTGTCGTACCGGTTGCAGCTTTAAGCTTAGAAGAAGAAAGCTGAAACATTTAATGGTCATTAAAAAAAATCCTAAAAACAAGCGTGTGTTCTTAAGTATCCTTAAAACTATAGCTGCTGCGCTCTTGAACCGTAGTAGTCTTATGTGTATAATGCAAGCACATGGAGCAGACAGCAAAATCCAAAGTAAAAACCTTAAATCGAATGCACAAACTGCAGGCTTTTTTTACACAAATTCTAGGTAGTTCGTTCTATTTTAGTGTACGAAGCTCCAAAACACTGTTCCCTAAATCCTAATTCCCTAATCACTAAAAATTTAATGGCTTCCAAATCTTTCAATAATATATATAAAGCCATTGGTTTACACCATTAAAAAGAATGAAAATAATTGGTAGCTATTAATATCGCGTCCAAAGACGTTGAGGTGCAAGCGATGGAAACACTTAGTTAAACGAAAATCTGAAAAGATGACGCGTCTAACTTAAGAATTTTTCCTATACTTTGTTGCTAAAATTGTTGACAGATATTGCAACGAATTGTTTCGCGTCCGTTTTTCGTGATGATAATGTTCATTTAAAATAATCATAATTCACCGCGATTACACCTTCAATTTAAGTATCTAATCCATTCGCTAATAATAATAACAACATAATGTAAAATTGCCCCAAATATGCTACATGAAAAAAGTTTAACAACAAAATTAAATTTTGGCATAGTAGCAGCCTAAGAGTATGGCAAGTCCCAAAGGAAAAAACGGCCAGCAAGTATCACAAGCGTTGGATCTCTCAAAAAAAACTAACTACTGGAGCCTACGTAGACGACCCAAGCGATAGCTGATATTTTCGTCAACGCGTCTGCTAATTTTTATATAAAAGATCGAGGTGGGTCAAAAGTGGTCTTTTGGAGAATTTTTTTTGCTAAATATTCAAACCCTGAAATTTAAACTCTGTTAGGGATGTTGCGATTTGTTGGATTATTTAGCATAAAAACTAGTATTAGGCAGAGCGTCGACTTCCAACGAAAAAGAAAATTCTCTATGTCATTGTCGTTTCGGTCAGCCCGAAGATATCGGATAAGAAAAAAGCTGATACCCGCTCAAACTGAGGAAATGACTAGTTATTTTTTGCTATGATGTGTTTGTTGTTTTGTTTTAAAAAGAACTGGCATTCGTCTGGAACCAGGAATGGCAGAGAAACACATGCTCGTTGCGACATACAGCCTGAAAAGGTTTTACTGACTTCGAATGCGCCACCATATATACATATATATACGTACATCACTAGTGCGCCATATGTGTGCATTTACAATCCTGTCTTTAAACTAACTCTAAAGATTTGAGTCCCATTACATGAGCATCTTCGATTATAAACAAGCAGTATTCGTCGCGAAGATGCTTGACAGCATTAGCTTATTTGTATGCACAGCTTTCAGGCGTCGTTTATTAGCCAGTAGTAGGTTCAGACACCATGCCTAAGGAATAATTACAATATATATATAAAGGTTGTAGAAAGAGTATTAAACGTTTTTCCGGCTAAAGTTTTAAACGTACACATAACATATACGATAACAATGTCCAAATAAAAAATAAGATGGGTTCTGCAGTGTATGGCAAGACCCGTCCTGACACCAGAGAAGGTTTGGTGCCATGTGTTTAGTGGACAGGAATCATGCATTATGAGACGGCGCTCCCTGGAAAAACGATTGATTTGTACCTCGGGTGTTAAATAATAGCAAACTATGTTATAAGAAGGCGTTGAAAAATCGACTGAACCAAAACAGCGTCATCTGCTATCATGATCATGCCGGATTACAAAAACCCAAAATATGTTAGATTATAAATCTTAACGCATTCGCCGTATAGGGCGGATTTTGTACTAGTGGACTAATTTGGTTCCTACAAAACTCTTTCAATAGTGTTAATGTGGTTTTAATAATTTCTCACCCAGAAATTACGGACGTGCTATAGTTACGGGACTATGTTGTTACCAGAAAAAGGGCAGAAGGTTATCTACCAAAATAACCTATATTTGATTTAGTAATGTTACTTTCAAAGATTATTGTTTCAATTTTGGATTAATAACGATCAGTACTCTTTTGACAACCAAATATATGATCTCGCTTGTCAGAAAGCGAGCTGCGCTATAGCCGTATAGTTGTTAGTCCGATTAGCTTCAAGCTAGCGTATACCAGACATTGGCATGATACACGGAAAGAGACTGAAAAGGAGCCGATTCAAAGTGAATATTGAAAGGGAATTGACGCACCCTATATCGTTGATACAAAACGCCGAGTTCAGCAGAAAGAAATCCATGGAACCGAAATGGGGCGGACAGGAACAGAAGAAAGCTACGCCGGAACCGGGATCCAGATAAGCACCATATATTTTATTCCGTGCCACCATCGAAACGTTTCTTTGAGAAGGTGAGCCGAAATTTTATGGATCCGTTCAGACATCGTGAGCAACAAAGCTTTTTATTAATATTAGTCGACTATTATATCTGCTTCAGCCACCTCGTGCCAATATTTGCTGCAGTGGCTCCGACGCTAGTGCTCTTTCAAAGATTTGGGCATTATAATACAATATACACAGCCTGACCTTTTTCGCATCATGGGCAATGACAAATTATATTACACGAAGTTACAATAGTTGAAACGAAAAATGCGTTAATCAAATATCATTAACTTAATATATCAGTACTATGAAGAAAAAAGCGATTTTATTACTGGAAGTAAATGCGCGACGTGAGGTATTTTAGGCATGTGGTACCAGACGTGAAGTCAGTAACGAGAACATTTACTGGATAAAAAGGAAAACATTTTGCTGAGACTGGATGAAAACAGAAGGAGAAGACACAGAAACAGATATTTCTCTTATTGGAGAATGAAAAAGGTACACATTGAATCGTTAGGAAATATACTGTATATGCTGCTTTTACCTCACTAAATCGAAAAGACATGTTAGTAATTACTGAGCTTACTCTATCTGACTACATATCAGATACTTACAATAAATGAATGAATCTGTTGCATGCGTTACGATCCTTCTAAATTCATAAAAAGAGACTGTGCTTTGAACAGAGGAATACTTAGAACGTGTTCAAGAGGTTTGAAATGAGAAACAATAGGCTATAGATGGCCTCGTTCCGAATCTCTTAAATAGGTACAACTCCGAGTAGTGTCGTTCGGTATTCCAGTTAAACGGATTTTTTTGTTAACGCTTTTAGTGTCAAGTAAAAATATAGTCCAGGAACTGTTGGAATCAACTGTCTCGTTTTCGACAACTTTCAGTATTACTCTTTTAAGATTGCCTCAGGTGGTGTCTCAAGATAGGAGGCTCAATACAAGGAATCCGGAAGAACTAAGCGGAAGAAGAAATTATTATAAGGACACTGGAGGATTAAAGTATCTCTGCGTCTATATTCAAATCTACGCATTTTGTGCATGCCTTTAGCTGGTAAACGAATGGAAATCTAGCTATGAGCCTTGTTGTTTAAGCACACTCGAAAGCGATATCGTTAAATCGAAAACACGGATTAGCGAAACCATTTTGGTAATGTGTAACTAACGCAAAAAATAATTTTAACACAAAGCTTACAATTAAAGTTTAGATGACGAATTACTTGCGATTATTTAAAATCAATGAGCGGTTAGGAGTTTAGGACAGTTACGTAGAAAATCCCTTTAGCCGATACATTAAAACTGACTATATAGGTCATCAGATCAATCAAATCATGGACGAGGGCAATTCTGGCGAACACATATAGTAGAAGCTGTTAATGTATAATCAGCGTGTAAATGGTATACTTTAATGGGTAATGGAAAACAAGAACTTGACTGAAAAGACTGTTGATGCTTGCTGATGTCATCTTTTAGGGATTTGAAGATGTGCTGATCCTCGATGGTCTACTGACAACCTATCGTGCCCAAGAACCATCCCAGACGGATTTTGAGAAGGTGTTTTCTGAATTTAGCGATTCTCGAACGGAGGATGCGCATGCTATCGTCGAGCTAGCTCTGTATAACTATATCGAAATGAGAGACCTCGTTAATTCACGTTTATTCCAACTCCGTAAAAAATTTGACAGTCTCTTACACTTTTTTCTACCAGAATTATGGGTTCCCTTGTACACGAGTGTTACGTTTTCCCGAATGGGTTACGCCAACTGCATCATCAACAAAAGGTGGCAAGACAAGGTAGGTACTCTTCAGTGAAGCTAAAAATGCACACTAGGAATACGCTCTGTACAACGATATTGATGCTTAGGTCTGTGTTAAAGCGTTGCGTTTTAATAGTTCTATCTGGTGAAAAATGTATTTTTGTTAGTCCACTAGAGAATCGACTAATAGAAAATCGAAAAGTAATTAGTTCTCTCCATTTAAATACGTGCACTGAAGTCTAAAAGCTGCTGACTATTTGTAATGTGAACTTTTTTATTCCTTAACCTAAATAAAATGTACATGCGGAACTCACAACGGGTGCCATATACGCGCAAAGATACTAACTAGAATCGATCAATACATCTTTAGAAGCCTAACAATTTTCTAGGTTCCCTCTCGGTATATCTGTTGATCGATGCGTTCTATTCCGAGCGAAGTGGAAAATTGTTTACTTAACCTTCTCTTCACTTGAAGGTCAGGTTTGTCGTAGAATGAAATTGACTCGATTAAATTTTTTCCAACTAACATCTTCGAGATGTCAAGGTAGACAGTTTATAATCCGAGGATATTGCAATAAAAGCCCTCTGACTGATGTTAATTTAAGTCAATGCTAGTGGCACGCAAACAATGATGTGTGAACCACGTAACCAATATTGCGTTGAAGATATGTTAAGGTGTTCGTGCCAATCCTGGAAGGGACGACTACTAAATTTTTTTTTATCTTATCACTATCAAAAGGATCTACCCTTTTGTAATCGCTTCCCGTGTAATCGTGCTTAGTTCAATATTAGATGCCACAGCTCCAAATCTTACGAGACCGCCTCCATCTAGCGTTGTTTACTTTGTGTAGCCGGCCAATTGGAGCACTCTTGCTTTTTTTTTTCAAAATTTCCTTACCAATCGGTACACTTACGGTCAGTTGTTCCTCTCGGTGTCATCGTTCAGCCGTCTCACGGATGTAAAGAACGAAGTCGAAAAAATCTGACTATCTCTTCGGTGAGCTATCGTGCAGCGGTTCAATCCCAACGCAGGATAATCCACTGAGGGATACTTTTTCTTCGGCACTGCGGTCATTGTGAAAGTATCCTACTTTTTCTGTGCAGCTAACTGAAGCTTTGCGTGTGCAGCCAGGAACTGGGCTATATATTATAATATCTTGTGAATTTTCTCGGCGCTGAGCTATTCAGCCAGCGATTGTTGAGATGATATACCTAAGCGCGGCTCCCGATTTCCCGCGTTGTATCGTCTCCCATTCCGCTTGGGCAGCCGTGTTTGCGTGTTTCAATTCATTTAGGCTTCGAGTAGAGTCCTCCTATAGTCCTTATCATTCGTCCAACTTAACGCCCTAGGGTACCGTTTCTACGAGAGCTAAGGCCGTGCAGTTCCGTACGTTTATATGGTACGGAGTGCATGTATACGCTGGGCTTTTCGCTGTAGCGCCCCAGTTCCTTGTCGGCGTCAACGCTGATGTAAACCAAACTAAAATCTTCAAATATGGTAATGGATCGAACGACCGACGTGACGAGCTTCCAGTTCCCTTTCCTAGTGCCATAGATATTTGGCATTATTCTAATGAGTTGTTTCGTCACCTTAGTCACCGCCGGCATTGCCTGTGGGATACGAGAATATCTCTTATACCCCTATCAAAGTGTATTCCAAATTTATCTAGCTATATTTACCAATTTCCTCGCCGGTAAAATAGTGCTCAATTCATCTACGTTTATTTATTTCGACCAGTAAAAGCTTTTTACTCTAACCGAGGGTCTGGGCTAGAGGTATTGATTTTGACAGGCGCAGGATCACGCAGTGGTCTCAATGTATACGCGCAGCAGTTGCGCAAATGCGTAGGCCAGCTGATAAGCGTATTTGAATTTTGTAATAGACGATTCTTTTTATGTGGTCTTAGATTTAAGATTTAGATTTACGATAATGAAAATTAGGGCAGGTCTCGTGAGTAGGAGAGAAAAGGAAACTATCTAGCACCATGCTTGTGAAACATGCACGTTGCTCGTTCCTAGACAATTTAGCAAGCCGCAGAACACCTTCCTTTCAACCTTTGATTATTACCGTAACGACAAACTTTTCATGTTGTGCTATTGGTGTTTAAATAGGACTATTTTTTTAAGTTGTCAAGATTTTTCGTATCTTAAAAAGTTAAAGGACTGATTAGTCAAAAGAACTTAACGTAATAATCAGCTTTTCTGAAAGAGCACTAGTCGTTTTTCGAAATCTTGTCAGTTTACTTACCCTTTCCATTGTGATTTGGGTTCAGCATTTCACTGATTAAAAAATTAAACGTAAAGCCGGCCCGTACGAGGTTGTACGACATCTTTCCATAGACATCACGCTGAATGGAATTATACTATGTGAACCCCTTTTATTCTACGCGTAGTAAACATTTTGATGGTCGGAATTTTAGAAGAGTATATTTTTGAACAGATACGATCACCCTGTTTTCTATAGGCTATCTTGAAATTTGATTAGTGACTTTTTACGAGAGTCTATGAACTCAGTAATGTTAATATTCGGGTACGACAAGTCACCTGCGTAAAATGTATAGGAAGCAATACCACCAGTAGATGTAACATCTGTTCTATAAGGCAGGTTGTAAATGGCATGGGTTTCATTCTACTCGAGTTCTGTTTCAGATTTTAGCCCGTGGCGGAAAATTTGTAGCCATTGTTGCGGGTGGCATCATATTAATGTTCGGGTCGCAATGGATTCGCATTCATCCAGGAAAACTACACGTCGTTGTTTCTTGGATCTGTCGCAACGACGCGTAGGATCCGTCGATGTTCAAGGACATATTCACACTACTAAGCATATACACAGATACCATCTATAATAGCTAACAAATCAGAAAATTAAATAAATGTTCTTAAATTAATTTATTTAAAATTTAAATTAAATTATTTTTTATAAAAAAAAAGATTAAATAAATAAATCGCATTATGCCAAATTTTGACTACTGCTACTACTACTACTACTATTATTAGAAAAGATGAATAGATATAGTCTGATTTAAATAAATGTAAAATCGCATAGTCATTTTTCGATATAGTGAGAAAACTCAGCAGTTTATTTTAACTGAACAAAAAAATAGCGTGGTATGGACAGAGCGCTATACACTAGGATTATATATATATATAGAGATGCACCGGACATTCGGGCCAAGTAAGTTTTAACTCGCTTAAGACAGATTGTCTGCTATGTGAAGTGAGAGTTTGGGTAGTCAAGTGGCAAAGCTCAATAGCATCGATGCTGTAATAATAATAAAAATATGCAACGTAACCTATTGAAAATGTCGTGTCCATAAAAATATATTGAAAGGCATGCTATTTTTATAATAAGATTACATCTTTCTGCTTTCTTTTTTTCTAATTTGTAGTCTTGCTCTTTATCTAAACAATAAATTACTTTTATCAATCAGCTTTTCTGCCGGTTTGTATGTTCGCAGGCAATCAGACAATGAAGAAAAACGTGTTTTTTTTTTTTGTTAAAATGGGTCGATAGAATACTACGCATTTCGTAAACACGTATTGTCACTGCTCTAACCTAATATTTTTCTGAAAATTTTGTCAAAATTTTCAATTGTCAAAAAAGAAGGACGGTTAGTAGGTTATAATAAACGGATGTTTTATACTATTCCCTAAAGAGCATCTAGAATTGACAAATTGTTTTTGGCTTAACATTAATGAAAAAAACTAGCTGCCATTTATATTACGAGGTGAATATTAAAATAAAGGAAAAAAGAGTGTACGAATTTCTCATTTGCTCCCATAAAAGCGTAGACTACACTCGAGCAGCGCGTGAATAACGGAAAGGGTAGTTCCCTTTCTCCCGAAATTAAGATGAACAACGTAACAATGAACTACCCGATCATCATGGGTAAGAAGGCACGCATGCATATTAAAGAGAATATATCACATCCAAAAAAATGTTTATTTCTGTCAACTGATAGGCCACTGGATTCTACACTATAAAGTCATCTTTTTTTTCTTATATCGCATTGATTTCGAATGATTTTGTGTATTTAGGTTACGAAAAGAAAAAAAGAATCACGTAAATCGTTGCTTGTGTGTTTCCCTAATGTATCCGTTTATTTGATATATTCGTCATTGAACTGCTGCAGAATTCGTCAAAAATGTAAGTTCTAGTAAGCTATGATTACCACATACAGCGGTGCGTGACAAGCGATTGATCGAGAAAATGAAGTAGTGATTTGGCAGACCATCAGTCGAAACTAGAAGCTGCTTCTGTAGTGACTGAGATGTAATACTTTAAGCATATATCATATACTCGAAGGATATCTTAGAGGATTAGTTTTAATCTAGCTCAATCCTGAGTTCAAATGCTTTGCTAGCTATAAGACTGCAGGTACCTGACTAAGCTACACGGATAATAAAACAGAAGTGCGCATACGCGTTTGTGCCCATACTCACCTTAAATGTAAGCAGGAGAGCTTGTCATCATCCTACCTTTAATAGTATCGTAGTAGTTAAAATCGTGCATTGCAATGCAAGTCTGGAATCTGGCTACCACCTCGGATATATCGCTCCAAATTTGGCAGAAAAAAAATCATTTACTGCGATAATTAGGATAAAACGTAGAGAAACCAAGACGAAGATTTGGTACCCAAAATGGAAACTGCAAGCAGAAGGCACGGCGCAAATGAAATTATCTACCGGGACAAATACTGGATTAGTTTGGTTCTTTGTAACCCAGCAATGATAAAAACAAGTCATGTCCTTCTCTTACGCTTCAAGTGGCTTGCATGTAATAAAATGAAATGTTTGCTTTAAGCAAGATTGTTTACCTTCACATAGAATTGGATCTCTTTTTAGCGATTATTTTTTATTAAGAGCTGGTTAGTTCTTTTCGCGACTACAAGCTCCAGCGTCGTGTCTTTCTTCTAGTGTTTATTTATTTTCTTTTAGCTGTCAGGTTTAAGTGCTGGCCTTCGAGTCAATTTCCATACATAGCAATGCTGATTTTTACGTGTTTCCCTGTAACTAATCTGACAAACCCTCATCTTTGCATTCTAATAGTATAAGCCAGCCAATTTCAGACTAAATTTCACCTAGTAGATACTGCGTATTTTTAAGGAACAAGTTTGTTGTTTGTAAACAAATTATTTTACAATAACAATAGGACATATCGTTTTGAGTTTGGTGGCGCTGCGTTGGCCTGAGATGCTGAGTAGATTCTAGGATACACAATGCAATACTATAAAAGATCTATAATTCTTACCTATTTAATTCGTCCTACTTTATCCTTTTTCCTCTGTGTGCGAAGGAGGAAGTAGCTTTCTCTGCGATTTAAATCAACGGGCTTTTGTCAATTGCCTAATAAAATAATAAGCTAGACAATATTTGTTTTGTTCAGTTACTGTATAAATATTTACAACGCCTGTTTTTCAAACTAATAATATATAGTTAATTTGCTAATCAGTAATGCACGCCACAATAAGTAATATGTCTACGAATCTATACATGCGTATATACGTGCGTATATATATGCGTATATGTTGTTACGCTAAATATTGGTGCGCCTTTTGTATATGGACAAAAGTTCTCGGGCACTCTATCAAATTGGACTTTTCTCAAGCCAGCCAAACGACGCAAAAATTCTATAGCGAGCATTGCGTTTTAAGGCTTAATTAACAATATATTTTCGAATCACTATACATTTTTTGACAGCAACCAGTGCTATGGTTTCTGTATATTTAGTCATTTTAATTTTTATTGTTTTGTTGGCCATTATGGACGCGAATAAGTCTACCTTAAATGACCGCACATTATGCGGTTTCGCTGCCATCTTGCAGGTTCCGTTTCCAAGGTTCGCTGTTATTTAAACTACGCTTGGCGTACACAATGCTCTGGGGCCTTGCTCTATTGATTCCCTGGCTTTTATGGAGGCTTTGGCCATATTGGTATTTAAGACCATTTCTTGTAAGTATATTCGAATTACTTTTAAATTTCGCCTATGATTCTTTTAGTTCAATAAAGGAATTATTTTTTAATTTCTTTATATACATAAAGAGCTTTAATTATGTGATCCTGTTTTCATGTCCGCTACCTGATTGAGCACCGTGAGGATGCAAGCTCATCATTCTTTAACCATATAAGAATGACGTACCATAGATCGGTTTTAACTTGCCTACTCCGAGGGAACAACGCGAGGCTATTACCATGAAACTGTGTTAGTTTAACTTCCGCGTCCAACTCTGAGCGACCGCGTAAAATACTCTTACGGCAACGCGTCACAGAAGAAGAAAGAATCTGTACAGTACGGAATTTGTGTGCAGTTTATAAATCTGTTAACGTCCAGGCTTCCTAAACTGAGAGAAGGGCGAAAAATGCAAAAGCCGAAAAGTCACCTTTAGCCCACTGAAGACGTAAGTGAGAAAGAGACACGGAATTTTTTGAAACACGATTTGAATCATCCGATCATCCGAAATCAAACGAGAAAGGAAACAATGTCTCCTGACAGAAAAGAACCGTTAGCAATGCTAGGTGCAAGCATACGTGTGGAGGATGCGTGGCTACAGAGCTAAGTGTGCACCTTGTCCTTAAAATCTAAAATCAAAAGGACAGAGTTGGCTTAACAAAAATGTACTAATTTCCACTTCAGGTACTGTATCCCGCTTATATGCATTATAGGATTAGAAGAATATAGAGATTATACGTTTTGATGCCGCTTCTATCCGGGAAACATATTTAATGATTATGCAACTAATACTGGCAACATCGAATAATTCTGCCTTAAGTGTGACAAGATCCCGGAATTGTCGATTTTTATTACTCATTAGTAATAGAGCTATCATTTATATTTGCAGTCTATATAAATGCGGTATTTCCAGTGTAAAATGATATGCTGTCTTCGATGAGCCGGTAAAAAAAATGTTTAAAAGTAACTACCTGACCTGTCTAGCTGGATGGTCTTGAATCACATGTCTCGTATATTGTGGGTCGCGTCGAATCGATGTTGATATCATTTGAAGGCTAATCTAGCGGCAGGCAATGTGCTTAAATTTTCGAAACGCCTCTATTTATGAGAGAGCATTTTGAAAACGAGTGGAGATTCTGCCAAAATTCTTAACGTTTTATTGCGTTAAAAGCACAAATGCAGCTTAGTTTCAAAATAAACGCTGTTGTCTATAATCAAGATGCATTATTAGAAGAAATGGCCCTATAAAGGTACTATCGCTAGAATTACTGATATATTTCTCCATCAATTATTTCAGTTGACACAAGAAATGATTTCAAAGTTGACCGAAAATAACTCGATGATATCACCAAAGAACTAAACATATACCGTCAAACCATTTAACGAAACCGGGCTACAAAGAAGCTGGATGCCTCGGTGCCGCAATAAATGATGAAAAATAATTTACTCGACCGTATATCCATCTACGAAACTCTACCAAAAAGCGATGAAAAAAATGTAATCTGTCTGTGGCAAAACCCAGATCGACGTCAAAGAATATGGTATGTTTTTGGACGTACTGGAGCAGAATCGTGCAGAAACGTCGAATAGCTACCACCTGGAAAAACGATTGATTCGGACCTAGACTGTGTCGACAACTGACGAGATTACGCCAAGGCGTTGGAAAATCGGCGAAAGCTAGTGAAGAGAGAAAACGTTATTGTTTTCCTTGGCAATGTCAGATTATATACACCGTTTGCTACTTCGTAAAAATTGAAAGGACTGAGATTGTAAATTTTACTGCATCCGCCGTATGGCCAGAATCCTAAATGTTTTGGCCTGTGGAAATTTTCCTTAGTAGCATTAATTTAGTTTCACTGGAGGAATGTAAAGATCACTTGTCACAATTTGTAACCCAGAGATCAGAGTTCTATAGTAATGGGATTTTGGTGCTACCAGTAAAATAGCAGAAGATCATTGATGAAAATGGTACATATTTAGAATCACAATATTACTTGAAAACTTAGAAAATACTTGCTTCTATTTTGGCTCAAAAGCGGTCAATACTTTTGTCGACAACCCAATAGTATATACTATTATATACGTATGTGTTTAGAAGAAAAAATGGAGATACAGTTTGAATGATCACACGTTGAGTTTTCATTTACATTTCCTTAATATTTAAGCATCAAAATAATCTAGATAAAATGTAACACTTCTCTTCCTACCGCAGGTGTTTAAAGTTGATGGCGCTTTGGTCAATACACCGTTGATAACGGGGGACCATTGATTGAAAAACGTTTACAAATATTTAATTTGAAGCCAATTCTTGCTCAATCGCAGCTTTTAAATCTTCCAGTGTTGTGGCTTTTCTGGTGCAGACTTTACCTTTGAGGTACACTCATAAGAAAGTACCCGGTGGCGTCAAGTCTGAAAACAAACAACGCATTCTATAAACGCTCTTGGTCCGATCGGAAGATTATCATCAAACTGTGCTCTTACATCACGATGATAGTATGTAGGTATTATTTGCAAAATAGTTCTTGTCGGTCCGGTCACTGATCGCGCCTGCATGTATGTTGGAACGTAATTTTTCTAATTAAATGCAATGGACACCTTTTTGAGTATGCAAGCAAACTTTCGGACTGTTTCGCTGTAACTTCCCAATGTTCTTCCTCGGTTAACGAAGCTTGTTTATGTTATTTATGTTACCGTTTGAACGTTATCTTATATATATATATATATATGTTTTTCACATCTTTGTAGTTGACTTTTTGTTTAATCTGATTGTGTTACGGCTTGAATACAGAGACGGTAGCACACATGAGGTTTCTAAAAAGGGTCCTTTAATTGAACTCCGACGTCCGGTTCAAATTTTCTGTATAAGAGCTACTACTTTAGGCCCGTCACTTAATCGAAGATTTGAGATACGTAGTTCTTTAGTTTCTGAATTTTATGCACATCATACAAGTAATGGATCTTAGTATTCAAGTTTTCACAAAGGAGGAAATAACTTATAAATAACCCTGCTGGTAAGATAATGCTCAGATTCGAAAAATTTGCAATTTGAAGATGTGCAATAACTTGCCTATTCTCTTCTCATTCCAGCTGCACTTCATATTATTGCCGTATGTTATTACCGCTGGGGCTACAATATTAACAGTTGCAGTTCACGTATCTAATCAGCTGGGGTTTGACGTTGAGAGCACTTACGGGGTCGCTTCATGCCTGGGCAAGTTCTTCATTATGCCGAGCCTAAGAATCTTGCACGGTATGTATTTATCCAAAGAATGTAGAGAAAGGTGTTATTTATTATTATTATTATTATTATTATTATTAATTATTACTATTACGACAAGCAGTTCATAAAGAAGAAAAGAAAGACAGATACTGTTAAGCCATATTTTTAAATTAAATTAAAGAATTTTTACTAACCGATAATTCACTTTTGCCCGTCCGTATGCGTATGCCTATATTAACCAATGGTAATTTCGCCGGCGGTTTTATCTGGCCATCTAAAGTTACGGTCAATTCACGGACCATTAGCAGATCTAGCTTAACCTTCAGAGATCAGGGCTAACTGGCTTCCACCGAACTAGCTGCAACATTAAGACAACCACTTCTCTAATTACCTTCCTCAAATCCATATTCATGTCAACTCTTTAAGACGCTCGACAAACAATAACACAAAAACAAATCGTCCTTAACGATTAACGAGATTAGGAGAAAAAATTGTCAGAAGCATTAAAAATATGTGAAAAAATGACTTGTCTCTTAATCTTTAATCACACTTACCAAGAAAATCATGTCGAGATTCGAAAATTTCATTGTTGTATAACATTTTAGTAAGAGTGGGCACATCTTCAATTCATGTGTCTTCTTCAGGTTACGACGTAGTTGGTGTCGAAAACATTCCACTGGATCGTGGCGCTTTAATAGTTCCGTATCATGCGCTTCTGCCTGTCGACCTATACGCCTTTATAGGCTGGTTTTTTCTTCGAACCAATAAAATGATCAGTGGGTCAATCGACCGCCTCTTTTGGGAGGTACCTTTACTAAGAACGCTCTTTAAGGTAAGATTTTATTTGAGAAATTTGCTATTCTTCCCATCGCTTTGTAAAATACTATATTTACGATTTATGACTCAAAAACCGCCGAACAGTATTAGCTGCCTAATGAAATCAAAACATTTTTAAATGTCTTACGTTTTGCGTACAGTTAAGTGGCTGTACATCGGGTGGACGGGATGAACTCGTGGCAGAATTGCGGAACGGATCCTTAAAATTCATTCTTCCAGGTGGTGCCTACGAAGCTATGTTCAGTGAAAATTATAGGTTTGTTATTTATTTACATACATATATTTTAATAGCTATGGCCGATTGGGGCCTGCTTGATTCTCAAGGCAGAAATACACAGGCTTTTTTTAAATTATTTTTTTATGCCATGTGTAGTTTACTTTCATTCAACCTACTCATTAGTACTCTACAGCGTAACGGATCACCTTTAAAGCAAAATGTCTGTATATTTGAAGATTCATTTATTTGGCTTATGAATAATCTACATCGAAAGATTTTAGGTTGCATACAGACTCGAACTAATAAACGGGCAGCTACCGTTCCATCAACTGTTCTGTCTTACCAGCACATTTGCTCACTCTCATGGTTACAGCCTTGAATGGCGAAATCGCACAGGATTTGCTCGCGTGGCCAAAGAAGCTAATGCGCCGATAATACCTATGTTCACCATAAACACGCGTCAACTATACACGATGTACTTTTTCGGTTTTCGTGGTAATCGTCACAAATCAATTCTCAAGATCTATTCTATTCTGAGAAATTATTATGGCGATAACATTGATACGTATTAAGTTATCCGTAATTTTTGAAGAGAATATGTATTATGTGTTTGATGAAGAATGTTGAAACTAGAAACACTTACATAATTTCAATGTGTCGGTAGTGTATTTCTTTCGAGTTAAATGTAATTGAACGGTACATGCTCTGTCATATGCTTAGACATAAAACGAGCAATGCAAGTAGGCGAGGTAGTATAAAACTGGAAAAGAATGTAATATGAATGCGTAGGTTGTGTTACATGGATCATCACGTTTAAGCCAGCTTGCAACATGTTAACGTAACACGTGCATATGTGTCGTTCAGAGAAACTACGCCAATGGTATCTGGAAAAACGAATTCCTATCCTGATTCCTTCTGGAGGATGGCCTGTTAAACTGAGGTCTGTAGCATACTTTAGACAAGTTACGAGGCTCCTTCTGGTTGACACTAGTTCCTAAGTAGATTAAGTCGTCCCTAATTATTATTAACATACATGCTTTGTTTGCCTTTTTTTTGACGTATATGAAGAGCAAGGCATGTTTCCGTGATATAAATAACCAATATAAAGAAGTTACAAACATTTGGTCCATATAGTAGTAGTGTACCTGTTTACTGATTTCTAATTTTCTACTGGGAAATATTTAGCAATATTACAGGTAGCACTTTATATAAGCCTCAAGCAAAATATATATAAATAAACATTGTAATGATAGTTCCCCCAAATAGAATTCATTATCATTAAGAAAAAAATTACTTATATTATTTCCCGTCCCAGAAGGGACGGGTTTTTACGGTTACGTATGCGTTTTTAAACGAAATATCTCGGCAACCGCAGTCGCGGAATATTTTGGGCGTCTACAAGCCTCAAAATTAAAAGAACAATCACCTAATATTAATTATGTGGTAACTGTGTAACACGAACGTGCCTAACCATACCTCTCATTATTACCTGTTAAACTACTTTTCGTTTCAGAACGTACCTAGGCAAACCCCTCACTTGTGGGACGGACGAATCCGCAGAAGAGTTTGCCAGGAGAGTAAGCAAGACTAGTAATAACATCTTTTCAGCACAACGATTTTCATTTGAGGACTAAAACATATTTCACGATACTGAGATAGCCGTCACTCAACCGGTTGTGACAATTAAGTTTAGCCGCGCTGTCTCATGTTTTTTTTCTAGTCATTAATGCGATCTTTCCTTGAGACGATTGATGACGCTATGTTCACAAAGGCTTCCGTAAAATAAGTGTAATAATACCACTTTATAATAGAACCATTTGTGTTTTACCTGAAAAGGTTGTAAACTTTAAAATAATATTATTAACGTGATTATATATTTTCGATTTCTAGGTACAGGCTGCGGTGGAGGAATTGCGAGACAAGTATCAGCGAAGACCAAATTCAATTATTAAGGCTATTGCAGATAGGTTTACCCTTTCTCCCCCCAATTGAGATGTTTCTGGAAGTAATCATTTTAACGAATACCTGAGGAACCTATAGACTGCTCTACTGTGCACGTTGAGTTCGAATTGGTTTTCTGCGGTTTTTTGAGCAACTGATATGTCTGCGACATGTATTTAGCCCACAGTAATGCCAAATGAAGGTTAGATAATTCTCAATTCAAAATAGTTTGTTATACGTTTGACCGATGACTGAGGTTTGGTTCTGTTAATTACGCTGTTTTTTTAAGCCATCATCAGTGCTTTCTCTCAGAATAAACTTAGTCCGCTTCATCCAACGGTGACGTGACGAACAAATGTTAGCACTAGTTAGTCTTTATTACTGCCCTATTTTAAGTGTTGATCTTGCAAAATTTGCAAAGATAAATGCGCAGATTGTCGACAGCACCAAATTCACAACTAGAGAATTTAGGACGTCTAAAAATGTATTAGGTCTTCTGTAAAGAAATACTTCACGCTCACCATTGCCTGACGCTCTCCGCCAGTTCTATGTACATGCGATGTACAAAGGGTATTTTATTTAAATATGGTATGCTTAAGGGATGCTATATGGGATGCGTCAACAAATTGTAAGATATTGAAAAATATACGATGTCATAAATCTGCCCGATAAACACGAGGTGAATTAGATATTTAAAGAGAGGATAGGTGTCATAATATCTAGTTGTAATCTACTCAACGTCAAATTTTCAGGCGAACTTAGTGAAGAAATTCAATGGAAAAGGTAATCTATATTTGCACGACGAAAGAATACATTTTGAGAATTGTCTCCAGACTGTTATAATAGCTGTCGCTGTAGCATCGAAGAAAAGTTCGTAATAAAAGGAGGAAACTTTGATTCTTCATGTTAAAGAAATGAATTAGTCTTTCTTGTTTGCTCTAGAAGTACGTTTGTTTTTGTCATGGGATTCTAAGTGTTTGGAAAAACCACGCGAGTTGCTACAGTATAACTTCACTTAAATCGACAGTGGTAAATGACTATTTAATGTTTTCTTCGTCGGTCCAGCTGCTTGAATAGGTGGCCGTGTTGGCCTACAAGAAGCGTAATGAAACTATCGTGCTGCTTAGCTATCAGTTCTGCACCTAACCCCAGAGACCCGTTGCCATCTAGGGAAGGAAAGCTGCTTTGTTTATTGGAGCTTACCTCATGAATCTCTTCAGGCTCGTTATATTTACTAAAGGCATCCCAAAGCCTTCTCGTCATAAACGACTTGTCTAAGGTTAGCTCTTTCGCAGCTTTTCTGGCCCGCGGTTGACTTCGACATTAACTGCCTCGAGAACCGTCAGCAAGGTGCACCAAGCATAGTATAAATATAGAGACTTCGAAGGTTCTGCAGTGAGCAATAAGTATAGCTCATTTACGGACCGTGATGTGATTACGTTTACATTTGCCCAAGGCCGAATATTGCAACTCTTTTACGAAATTGGAGCACGAATGGGTCATCGGCGCCTACGTTTAGGCAGATTGCTTCGACGGAAGCGGCGCTTCGGGCACTGATCTTTGAAATAACCCCAGTCTCTGCATTTGAAACATCTGGGGCCGACTGTTGAACCTTCACCGGGCCTCCTCGCCGTGCTCGATGTGTCTAAGCTCGGCTACTCGCGGGTGAGCTGCACAAGCCTTTCGAAATTCACCGACGCATCCCTTGTGAGGTAGTTGACAAAATTATCATTAGCATTTTTTGATATCCTTTAGAAGGGTCTCGAAAGCGTACGGTATCCCCAGTTGGTCTACTAGGAAGTGTCTCTTCTAAATCGCGATATAAAAACCTTTCTCCTAACAGCTCCTGCAAGCATAGTATCTTGTAGACCGGGATCACCTCTTCTTAAAGTCTATCAAACAGAGCCTTGAAGCGTGCTTACGCTACTGGGGTAGCTGTTAACGTCTCATTGCACCTGACCGCCCCAAATTAAGGCCTTGCCGATTCCGGCAGCAGTCCAGTTGAATTTTATGGAGTTTTTGGAGAGGCCGGCTTTGGGCATAGGCAATGGACTCCAACTAAGTCAAACGCTGTGTAACCCAAATGAAGCAGATCGGGTGATACGACCGGAAATGAAGCAGCTTTGGTGAGGTTCGCGGACAAGCAAATGATATTCATCGCTGCTTCCAAAATGTTGCATACAACAAGCGGACAGCAAACTGCCATTGTTTAGCTCCAAGCAGCCCTTGTATGCAGGTTCGGACCGCTTCTAGCTAGAATTGATGATATTAATAATTCTCGCTGCGCATATCTACAGAGTAAATAGGTTAATTTTGAAACGAAAGGTGGGCGTCACATCAAGGCCATTACTAAAGTTCTTAAAGTCATCATATCACCTATATTTAGTAAGCGAGGTAGTAGCATTTTTAGATTAGACGTTGATTAGGCTTTTAACGAAAGAAAAATTTAATTTAAAAGAGTTACATAAAAGTGCGAGATTTAGCCTAGTGTCTGACTACTGTAGAAACCTGCTGTAGAAACTACGGTAGAAACATTTTCTCAGTGCATTCAAATACATAATACATTAATATATATCTGTTTTTTAGTAAGTATAGTTGAGTATTAATTAAGCGCAATTAACGCAAGTCCAAGAGCTGTACTTGCCTTAATTTGGTAAAAATGAAGTATCACATAAGAGTCGTCATTAGAATCTATAAAGGTCATTATAGGCCTGAAAGATATAGTTAGGTAGTAATTAACTAAGAATTGTCAATTGCAAATAAACTAGTAGCTAAAAACGGGGGCTTAATTTCAGTGACCTGTCGATGCATACATTTAATGCGAGAAACCACAGCGCACTGAAACGCATGATTTTTTGGTATAAACCTATTCCTTAACACGTATAGTGGTTCTACGTAAGTCAAATTAACGCAGGTCAATAAAATAAAGTCAGTGGTGAGTGTGATGTTAAAGTTAACGTTAAGATTTATGTTAATAACATTAATATCATTAAAAAATGCTGATTTGAAGTCAGTCTATAAAATGCATGGTTGAATTCGCATTAGAGAACCAATCAAAACACTAATGAAAGACGTTTATGCTAGGCAAAAAATATATATAAGTATTATAACATTTTCCTGATAGTTTTTAAAACCTTTTAAATGGTGCATATTTTTGTTAAACGAATGACAAGCTATGTGTTGATTACATCATCTAACAGATAAAGCTACGTCACCTCGAATACACTAGCAGTTTCCCTTTATAACAATCTTTCTACGAGCATTTAAAAGATCCGAGTGCTGCGCTTATCATTTTAATTCGAAGTATATTCGGCTCTATGAAGACTAGCAAACTACTACTTCTGCATATAAGAATATCTCGATAAGATTGTTAGTGTATAGACTGTAAACGTCGATACTTCTTCCTAGTGCTGTTTGGTGTAAGGCTCCAACTTGCTACGTTAGCGTAGACGCACAAGGAACGGCAATACTTGTAACCGTCGGACGCCCGTGCTGTCCATCTACAATTCAATAATGATGCAGAGCTACACGACATTACTATTGCAAGACCACGCTCGACATAACAAGATATTTTAGTCACATAGACGTGTAGAATTCTTTATGAACGTTAGCTATTTTTTTTCTTATTCTGCTTATGACCGTATTTTAGATTTCCCCATTCTATAGATAACCTCAAAATACCATTTGAATCGTTAACCTATGCGGCATCGATTAATGCGGAGCAAAGTCATACCCTCGGAACACAAAGGCAACAGCTGTGTTTCTTCTATTAAGCATAAAAGATCCCACTTGGAATCTTTGCTTATAAAGTAATAACCTTTAGCGTTGGCGTACTTGGTGCACACCTTTCTGTATACGGCGTATATTATGCGATCCCTTGATAAACCTTGATGATTTTGACCACAACGAAACTGGAAACAAATTAATCTATTTGTAGAATATATAGTGGATACGATCATATCCTGTAGGGTTGCACTGGCTATATTCATGGACTCTTACTGAGCATTACAGTTAATGTTACCTGACCCAAGAATTCAACTCGTAACACACTACTAACAATTCAATAAAGTAAGTCGATATGATGAATTAGAAAATAACCTAATTATATTGCGAGTAAATATATATGAATAATTGTAGGTGATCGTTTACCATTAGCATTTACGTTTTAGATGGAACGATAGCTTATTAGGGAGCTGAACTATACCTGTAGCTTGTTTTTAAATAACCTTTCAGTTTTACTTACAAGTGTTATAATGTGACTTGTAGTTTCCTACAAAAAACTTTTTTTTAACTTTCTAAATTTAGGATTACTTCGAAGTACTGAAATAATTTTAGAAAGCATTTGCGTAGTTAGACTTATTGTCCTGAATGACTGAAATCCTTTAGATTTAGAAACATGTAGACAATATTTGTACCTAGAAACTTAATTTCGAACAATGCACGGCAAAAGCTACGCAGTTACCCCTTCCATGAATTTTTTTCTGTAAACGACACAAATAAAGCTTTAATTGCCTTCGTTAACTAGTAAGTAACTTCGTCGCAGTAAGCAAACATCGATCTTATTTATATTGTATCAACCTACGGAAAGGTGATTTACGATATCTACGACAAAAGTAGTACAATTTGTAGCTTGCAGACATGCATTATCTCAACATGGGCGTACATCAATTGACCAAAATGTTAATAAATGAGCAAACTTCAAATAGGTTAATTATGTTACGCTACAAAACGTGGTTTCTGAAAAAAAACAGCTCCTTTTTTTTATCCTTAATACTCTTTAGCAAAGAGGGATCTGGGATATTCTAGCGCATTGCCGTAACCTTCATGGTTAGCGTTGGCGGAAAGGTGGAAAGGCAACGCTTCAGTCCTGACCGTCTCGGCTGGCAAGAAACCCTTAACGCTTGTGGAGAGAACACGAACAAGATAAAACGAAGGCATGTCATCAAAAAACAAAATTGCACACTAAAGGCTCAGAAAAGCAACGATGTAAGTAATACTGCCTACTATGGAGACCACTGCAATAACTCAGTTTAACTATGACTTATGTATTACCTATACAAGCTATCAAAATAACTATTGACTTAGGGAAAATGTACATTATATAAAGACTAATGCCTTGCTTCTACTTTAGCCTTTTTACCAGTGACAGGATTCACGACACCTCTGTGAAAAGTTTGCGTTAACTGTCATCAATTGCCTCTTAGCATGGGTTTACGACAACTATTAATATTGTTAGTTAGCTTTCATAATATACATTCTTTTCAGAGAAGTACCCTTTTACATGCAACTTCAACTTTTTTTTAACAAATTTGCGCAGCGTATCATCTTAGGATAACTGGTTCTACTAAACTATAACTTCTTCTTTATTACTAGGATTAGTCTCTTTTATACAAATCGTGTATCGTATATATATATATATATATATATATATATATATATATATATAGCACAATACGCACACGTATAAAAAAAGTCTATGAAACGTTATGAAATGAAGAACCTAGGCCAAACACATATAGAAACACAGCAAAGCAAGCACCAAATTCCTTAGAGGGACGGCGGAAACATTAGCGACGAAACAAAAAAGTGGGTCGAGAGAAAGAACAAAAAAAACACTGATTCCCCTACGCACGTTTGACCGCCCGTAATTTTACAATGTTTGAAGGCCGAAAGTGCACCTGGTTGCCGTGCTTGCAAGCGGGTCTCTTAAAGACGAATTACTAGATTTTTATTGCCGAAGCAGACAATATGAAACTCAAACATCACGCAAGAATGTCATTAAGTTTCGAAGGAGGTACCATTGTTGTACAACATCTCTTACAACACAATTCAACAATTTTTAGTTTGAAATCCGCGCAGACCATAAAGCATTGGGATAATATCAAAGTGACACTACAGAACAAAATCAAATAAAAGACAACAGCCATGGAAAATGCATAGAAGCTTCAATGATGAAATGTGTAAAAACCAAAAAACTAACGCAGGTCATTGACTGTACGATAGATGGACAAGATAAGCTCGTGGCTCATTTAAAAGGTGGCAACTTAACATTTGTTCTACCAGGTAATGCATATGCCATATTTAGTCAGATTAGTTATTTTATATATAGCTATGTAAAGATACATAAGATACGGGATATGGTGAGGAGAAAAAAATATTGGAACTGCGTACAAACAGTTTAGGTGAACGTTACGAACATTCAACTATTTTAGGTATGTTTGCACAATCTTCATTCATGTTGCCTTTTCACATCTAATATTTTCACAAAGATCATGCATAAATATATAGGAAGTCTCAAAATTTAGAATGCATTTACGTTTATATGCGATTGTACCATATATATGTATATATGAACGATAACAAGGGCATGGTTAGATATGTTAGTTTAGTTATTTTCATATTATATTACGTAACGCTTCTTGGCAAGCTCATTAATGTTTTCGAGACTACACTTCAAAGAGAAATTTTACATTGGGATCGATGCACACAAGAAAGAGAAAAACGAAAGTTGTCCTCTCCTTAGAACATTCGAATAATCTGCCAAAAACGCAATTCCCAACTAGCAGATACACAAGTCTTTTCGTTTCAAACATATTTAGTTGCAGAATATATACCACAACCCTCTATTTGATGCGTAATTCTTAATTCTTCGAAGCGGTGCCGGCTTTACTTCGTCAAAGCGTGTCAGGGCACGCAGAGGCGAACTTACGCTAATAAGTCATAGAAAAATATAAAAGTTGGTGGAGGAATCAGAAATTAGGCTGTTTACATTCAAAAAGAAAGAATTTTGTTTTCGCAGCCCAGAGAGGTTACTTCTTGACTAGTGTAGCTTGTGGCGTCTTCACTTTGTGATCAAACAATTTAAACATGGTAGAAATAGCTATCTGTTATAAAGAAGCTTTTACAGTTAAAACACAAGAGTACAAACGCAACTATAGCTCATGCTAAAATACAAAAGCCATCCACGGTCTCAAATTCTCAGGTGCCTATAAGCAAGCCATTTCATAGAAATAAATTATTTACCACTGGCAGCCATTAAGCAGTACTAAACCGGCTCCTGGCGTGGTAATCAGTTCATTTCTCTGAAGTAACTTGCTAATAGGCGCCTGAGCGTTTAAGTTCAACAGACTGATTTATCCTTGTCCTCATCGACGACGCCGCAGTATATACGCTATATTAATATAAACGCCGCAGCACTTCCCAAGGATACATTCAGGACACGTAGTTAAGCGAGTTTTCCCGGAATGCTCAATACATAAGTCATAAAAAAAACATTTACCGCTGAACGAATATACTCCGCCTGATAGACGTCGTTAAATTATATTGAACCATAAATAACAATACGATATTTTACTGTAAACATACGGTGGCAGCTGTGTAACCGCAGGACGAATGGCAGTAGGATACTCCTGCCAGTAAGTTGCAGAACCCTAATCGGCTCCCACAAATGTCAAAGAAATGAATATTTCCTTCAAGTCTTTTCTTACACTTATAGCGCCTTCAAGTCTACGCTACAAAGACTAAATTAAAGAAATACTAAAAAATAATGGTTTCACCAGTATTTTTTATGTATGGTTACAGTGTGGACTGGAGAAATCGCGTTGAGTTCATCCGGACGGCAAAGCAGGCATGTGTGCCAAAACGTCCAGATGTACTATTAACACCAACGAACAATACCAGATGCACCTTTTTGGCCTTCGCAGTAATTATCACAGAAGAGTTCGGCGTATGTTAGTACAAAAATTATGATACGCGTAAGCGGGGTAGTAATCATTGTATAGTATTTAATGGACAATGTATAGCTAGTCAGTTTTCTATTATTGGACTATAAATAATAAAAGAGATACTTCGTAGCAAGAACCCAGGTGCTCACCAAAAGGTGACAGGAATTGAAGTGGTCGGAGTTATGGAAAATTTAGCCAACTTTTGGCGAAGTGTCTACGTTAGTTTTGGTGTATTCGTTATGCAAATATCGCGCGCCAATGGGATCTGAAAATTCGGATTTCTATCCCATTCCTTGCCGTGAGATAACCAGTAAAATTCAAATTTGTCGTTCATTGTAATTCGGTTGCATTATACATTCCTTTTTTGCTCAATGCTAATTTGGGCGTCAACATTAATCGGGATTCCACCTAACATTTGAATCCTATTACTAAAGAGACAGACTCTCATTACAAATAAGAGTCGCCGTGCACCTATTATGGTTTCTGCTGGCTTAACGAAAAACGGTTGGAGACCTAGGTATTAGAGATGTATACAAGTTAATGGAATACCTGTAGAATTAAAATTAAATCACCTTTTTCAGAGGATCCGAGTAATATATTTTCTCACTTATTGCGTATATAGACTTACTACTAAAAGCCTGTGGCTTTATTATCCAGCAACTTACTTTGCATTCCAGGACTTATCACAGAACACCCCTCACTTGATGCACAACTGAATTTCCTGAAAGAGTTCGCTAACTAGCCTGGTCAGATATTAACGCCTTCTAATTATGTATTAAGGAGATACAAATATATTACAATGGAGTAATTAGAGTACTGTTGTCGTAATTATAATTATAATGGCAGTATTACTAGTGTTATTTGATGTTAAAGAGCATTTAGTTAACTAAATTATGCTTGGTGAAATAGCAGTACTTTTATATTATCTCGCCTAGATTCGGCGCGCTGTAGAGAAGCTGTGAAACAAATATCAATGAAGACCAAACTCCGTTCTTAGAGCTATCACTGATAGACTTGTTCTTTCTCCAGCGACCGTGGTCCTGTCAAATCGACTACTAGACCCCGAATGAGACGTTCAGACTACAAGTCAAAAGACGGCATATATACAATGAAATCTTTGAATAAATATCATTATGGTTATAAGTATGTATTATCAATCAATGCACAGTAAGATTCCGTTATTGCGTGCTTGCCAATCGTATCCTACGTATGGAATCGTAAAAGATAGCAGTGCTTAAGCTCCTATTTACTTTGTTTTTGAAACTAGTTCGGGGTATTAGTATATTTTCATTTCGAATGGACTATAATACAAAAGAAAAAATACTGTAACTACATATATAGTCATAGTATGCCGTATTTTTAGGTTTTGGAGCTGCACGAGCATGTGATAATTTTACAGGACATGATAACGGCATGGTTAGATTAATCGTGATGCGATTAATTGCTTTAAGCTCTGTTATTTAATATAATATACCTAAATGATTTTCTGCACTGCTCGCAGACTCTGTTCAACCTGGTGATAGATAAAGGCCCAGCTTTTCACACGTCTTAACAATATTGCAAGCGGAAAAGCGGAAGCTCATTTACTATATACATATAACTTATGTATAGGTACTGCCTGCTCAATGCTAAAGAGAAAATGAACCTTTTGAATTATTCATTTGAGAAAATGAATGAGATTTTGAATTAATGATGTAGGGTTGCGCTGGGGTCTTTCTGTAATATTTGCGCTTTTCCAGAATGTCTTACTATACTACGTACAAGCATAATGGGCCCACTTTTCTAAAACACCCATTTTAATCTACGTAATTTTACTACTGAAGTTCAGTGCTAATACTTTGGCAAATTCTTCATTTATTCATTCTTCTTATTTGTATACAACATAATAGCCATGACTATCTACCAATCAGGATTTCTACTGAAAAGAACATCCGATTTATGCTGTCATTTGACGACAGCATCAGATGAACTGGAATGCAAAAAGATAAACTGAAGACTATAAAGTGAACAACATTCGGAAGCACCTAATAGGTTTTCACTTACAGTATTTTCCCTGAAGATTGAACCCCATAATTGAAGACATACCTGTCGCTGTATTACCCCTGCCTGACTAGAAGCTTAATCTAGCATTTAAATAAATCCATGCAGAAACCAAGTCGGTTCATCCGTTCAATTACATTTTCTCATTCTAAACTCCGTACGCTAATAGGTTTTCCGGTTGTAAAATAAGCTTACAAATACCGTACATAAGTTAAATGCACTCCACTAATTGGGATGAAGTAGAACAGCCAAAAAATGGCGATTAACTATATCGGGTGATGAAAATGGTTCTCAGTGGTCGAGAACGATACACATCTGTTATTGTTTGTTATCAACGAGGTCCATGGTACTCTCAGTGAGCCTTCCCCATCCACGAACCGACAGCGCTCTGAGAGCTCGTTTCAGCTGATACTTCTGTCCATCTTCCAACTCGGCTTTTCGCCACATATCGAGCATGCTTCCTTTTAACCGGATAATTCTGTTTTCGAAACTAGACCCTTCTATAATCTTTGGTATAAGGTTAGCTACAATTGTTAGACACCGTTGCGAAATAGGCGGCTCTGATTGAATTAAATCGAAGAAGTCTTCACGTAAATCCGTGTCCACTAGATACTCAGCTCCCGCTTCCTCACAGGACACGTTCACTAGAATTTTCATTGCCTGAAGGGACTGGTCAGGCGCCGCGCAAACGGCTTTTGAAGCTAGCAAACCTGTATACTTAAGTACTTCAGGATCCGACCCGTATTTTACCGTTAAATTAGTGAGAACGCACAGCGCAACCAACGAGATCATGGAACAGCCCTCGCTAAATGCTAACTCCAGGTAGTAGGGAATTTCGTCGACGAATTCCTCCTGATTCTCGTCATTTACACATAAATTAGCTGTCGCATTCAATGCCTGCAGTTTGATTGCATCATTTTCGTGTTGGCTCAATCTTTTCACTTGATTGAGAACTCCGTGCTTACGAAACTGGTCTTGATTGCTTGTGAAGGCGGAACAATTCGTGAGGATGCCGAGAGTCTCGCAGAGAACGGTCTCATCATTTGCGGTGAGAAGGAAGCCCAAACAGTCAACCTCGTCGTCGCTAATGACACGAGCCCCGTTGTACTTGAGATCTTCAACGAGTGCAGTCAACTCTTCAGTTTGCTTCTCGATCTGTTGTTGTTGTTCGAGCTGCTGCTGTGCAGGTGTCACTCCGAAAAATTCCGGCCCATTAACTTGGCTCGGGCTGTGAGTCGAATCAGTGAATTTTCGTACAACCGATAGCGGCAGAGGTGATGCTGATTTCGATGATGGCTGAGCACTGCCTTCCCAAAGAGAAGTGCACCATTGTCTCTGTGGTGTCGCCGATTCCACTTGCATCTGTTGTACCGCGCTGGACGTGCTGTTGCCGCTACTCGTTGTGGACGGAGACGAAGTGATGTAAGTGTCAAGCAAATTGTACAGAACGTAAAGTGAGCCGGCACCAAACGCTGCTATCGCCGCGGTCCTAGTAAGCCCCTCGTTTACGCGGAACAAATGCGACCAATCCATAACGCGTATTGGTGACTCTACGAAGTATTGACTGTATGGCAACGTTGAGTCAAGAACAGCGTAGCTGCAGCTTCGAGGCACGAGCTCTAGAATATCTGTGATAATCACATAGCGCTAATATCACACATAGGCATATATACTATTTGAGTTTTACTACTGCTACATGCCAATTGAAGCAATATTTTAAACTATTCTCAGACAGTAGTGCACCTTTCTTGGGCAATAAGGATGTTATAAGATGTAATAAGAACACAATGCTGACAAGGCTGTTGGTTTAATTTTTTACCACAAACTATAGTTAATGCACAGCATGATCACGAAGCCTTGATGTAAACTCGTACTACTGGGGCCCGCGCCACGGGAGATATGGGATGTACGCGGCTATTTTCAAACACATTTCAGATGGCCTTCTTTACTCTATCCCTCCGATAGACTTAGTGTCCGCGATGGCGCCGACCGTGACCTTGGCAAGCGCTGGGTCGCGCACTTAATGATTAGGCCGTTTTAGCTATCAATGTTCTGTCTGCCACCAGAACGTACCACACTAATTTCTGATGAAATGGTAATACATTGGATATAACCGTTCACCGCTTTAAACGTATCATGAAATAGTTCATCGGTTGCAGATATTTTGCGATTATGCAATTATAACTGTTTTGAAGGTTTACCTCGGATTTCAGTAAACAATTGAATGCGTTCCTGTCCTGTCTACGGAATTCTCTATCATTATTTCATCTGTAAAGGGCAGCACACACCCGTACTTTAGTTCCGACGAATAACTTTAAATAACGGAACAATCTGATGCGGTGTTTGATTTTCAAATAGAATGATGGATATTGTTGTCGAACAGTGCGCGAGTTGCACGTGCTGTCGAAATATAGGGTTGTACTACTATGTTTTCCTCTAGCGTCAAGTATAACTAGAAAGAACTTTTAGCATTCGCTACTGAGCCCAGCATGAATTATTATAGACTATTTCGTGGTGTGTTAACGTGCAGCTCGGTTAGACTCTATAATAAATCCACAAAACGACCTGAAGTTTCGGAACTTCTTCGAGATGCATCCACCTTTGAGCTGAATTCCATTGGAGATCAGTGGAACAGTGATACGTATCCCATTGAAAGATCTCTGAAAAACAAACTTCGGGCAGAGGCTGTACTAACAAAACCTATGAAGGATCCTAGGTCGACAACTGTTGTTCTTTTTCCTGGACAGGTAGTTATTACTGATAAACCCACAAAATCTGTTACAAACATTCGATCTTGAAGTAAGTTTTTTTGTTTATATTTGAACGTTATTTTCACTTATTTTAAAACATAACGATCTTTGACATATGCTTCGCCTTTGGACATGGAGTAAACTAAGATATATCGGAGTGTTTGCTTGCTTGTCATATTTATGTTTCGATAGAGCTAACGGGTGTAATTTTTTTGACATAAGAACAGTAACTAGTTTTTTCGAAACAATAGTTTTTCCATTGTACGCATCGGAGCATCCTCTCAACGGAAAATCATAAAAAGCAATAAAGTAACGACAGCAAAAATGGTCAAAAATTCTCTTTTCGAAAATGGTAAGATAAGTCGAATTAACATAATGGCGAACTATTTCTATATTCGTGTTTTGTTTAGGGCGCACAATACACTGGAATGGCTAAGAATCTTCTTACTGTGCCGGGAGTAAAGGATATGTTCAACTTTGCCTCATCAGTTATGAAAATTGATCTACTCAAGCTATGCTTGGACGGTCCACAAGAAGTTCTGAACATGACAATCAACTGCCAAGCAGCGATGCTCTTAACAAGTCTTGCCGCTTTGGAAAAGTTGAAACTATCTTCTCCCGAACTTATAGAGCGATGCACAACAACCGCTGGTTTTAGTGTGGGCGAGTACTCGGCTCTTGTCTTTGGAGGAGCAATAAGCTTTGAAGACAGTAAGTTCCTGTAACAGCATAGAAATATTTTTCTCTCGTTGCAGTCCCTCATATATTTGAGAAACAATATAGAATATATATATATATATATATATAGTTTTTCATCAAAGGCAAAAATCAGCTAACGAATATGTCCTTTGTTATGCTATGCCCTCGAACCCTATCAATGGACGCGTTGATTATGACATCGTAATATTACGTCAGTATAGCTGTTCATTTGGTGAAACTCAGAGGTGAAGCTATGCAGATCTGCTCGGAGGAAAGACCGTCTGGACTCATGACAGTGTTCCTTCGGGCGGACTCAAAACTCAACCTAGGAACGAAATTGGCTCGCGAATGGTGCCAGGAACGAGAAAAGATTAAGGACCCGGTGTGCGAAATCGCGAGTCACCTCTTTCCACACTGCAAGGTCATAGGAGGGGACGAAAAGGTCAGCCACAAGGCCAAAGTTTTTATAGTGTAAATTATAGTTTCGCAAAAAATCGCAAAACCATGTCCTTACAAATATTTATTGATTTAACTGGGATTGTACGCACAGTATTCGTACTCAGGAACAGTAAGCTAAGCTACTCTGTTCTCGAGTTTCAGTACTTGGTTATACAAGTTTATAAGAACATACAAGCTTAATATTTAATTGAAGTAAGAACAAGAAAAAATGACTAGGTTTGCGTCGGTTTGTTTAAATACATATATGTATAGATCTGTATTCTTTCTATCTATACGCTCCGTTAGGCTCTGGAGTTCCTTCAGCGCAATGCAAGAGAATTTAATCTGAAGAAATGCAAAAGGCTGACTGTATCTGGTGCTTTTCATACTAAGCTAATGAAGCCTGCTAAAGACGTTCTTGCAAATGCGCTCAATAAAGTGGTCATCAACCCACCAGCTATACAGGTGAGCTGAACAAATAGTATTTAAATACTAGTAAACGTTCCGCCTGCCTCACAATTTGAGCATTCTGTTAGGTCCAGATGTTTATTACTAGCCACTATGATAAATTGTCATGAAAATTTTGGAAACGTAGCAAATGATTTCCTATTTGAATTCGAACTATTTATTTAGGACGGCATATACACTAGCACATTAGCTATCTTTAAAGTACAACAAAGCTTTAAATGACTGATTAGCTATTAGCGTACACAACTGATTTCATCAATGTAAAACATTGGAAGTAATTAATCCTCTGCCTTTTTAATTAATCAGCAGAAAACAATTAAAAGAACTAGAAGCCAAAGAATAAAAAACTAGCTACCTTAAAAATAATAAAAATCTGCCAAATATATACACATTTAGTATTTTTCGTAACAAAAGCAATCATAATACTGTAATAATCGACAGTGCATAGAAAAAATTTATTTATAGTTTTTCTGTTTCCTTTCTTAGCATTTGTCGTTATCAATAAATCACTCGCGGGACGTACAAGTGTGAGATACCTCACACGTATTGCCATATATATCATTTATACCTCATGAATGACAACTACATTCTCGAACACATACACATTTGCGTATTCCCGCATTCCCTCACGTAATGATACAACAGCCATCAATAATCCGGCGATCTGTTGTATCGCCAGTATGACGTCTACTCTGCAAATTTATCTTGATCTTTTTGTTCTAGGTGCTTGCTTCGGGCTGTTTTACCATTGTTATTAATAATTGACTCGTTAGCTTTTCAACTTTTTTGACGTCCTGTGCGACCTGCAAATTATAGGTAGAGCGGAATATAGAAGATTAAAACTAAGCAAGCCGAGCGACGTCGGTTAGCTATTCATACATAATAAAACGTTCTTTACAAAGTTCTTTATCTATTAACTCCTATCCGATTCTGATATTGATATCATAATTAGTTTTTATATTATTGGCGTTGGGCAATTTATCTGCGAGCAATTCAAATGACAGTAGCAATAGTAATAATAATAAAGATAATTATTTGAATTTGTGCGTTATAATATATTAGTAATAATAATACTAATAATAATATATTCGTAGCTGCCATATAACGGAGTAGACTTTTCAGTAGTGGCATGGAACGAAGATCGTAAGTTACCTCTGTTTCGTACTGGTACACAGTAGAATCATCTGTGATTTTAACGTAAAGTTTTCCATTTGTGTGGCGGTACTTTACCACAAATCGACACTTGTCCGGGTTATTTAGGTAGAGTCGCTCAGCTGCTCGTGAAAATTCGTCCCACGATGCAATTAGCACCATTATAGCAGTATCAGTCACACAGCCTTAAGAAAGAGTAATAGACGCATTATTTTAAACATGCTCAGCTTATTTATGTATAATAATTCTAGCACTTACCACTAATTATTCCAGGTAATGTCAAATTTCAGCGCTAAGCCTTACAAGACGCCAGAGATGATTCGCAAGCACCTCGTTCAACAAATTTACAGCCCGGTTAAATGGGAGCAAGTTATGCAAAAAATATATATGCGGAACGATGACGTACCGTTCCCAAATACTTACGAAGTAGGCCCGGGTGACACCTTGAGGCCAATCCTTAAAATGGTTAACGCTAGAGCGTATGAGCAGTCCTACAAGCATGAGATCTAGATTTGTAAATGGGTGTAAAATGTTAGGTATGTTGTTGTGGTGCTGGGTCGCTAGAAGATCATTCGGGTTTCGCGATATCTTCAAAAGAAAAATATGTCTTTGGTTGTTATGGTGCATAAATTGGATTATTTCGTGCTCGTAAATGAGGAATAGCTTTGTACAATTTCATTTTAGAAAGCCAAAATGCCCCAATCTGATTATTACCGTGCAAATCGAAATGTATATGAATACAAAGGTTGATGTTTCTCAGACATTTTTTGTTTCTATAATAAAGCGGCGCGTCGAGCTTGAAATGAGATTGTTATGTAATGTATGTACGAAAATCAAGAAAACTATTTCTAAAAAAACCCCATCATAAATGACATATATAATACATTACCCAATGGAAAAATCAATAAATGAATAAGTCCGTTTTTACTTTCCCTTCTTTTTTTAGAACTAGTTTTAAAGATTAAGAAATTAAACTGTCATTGAACTATTATTTTATTATTAGTAATAAACGGATAAAGTATATCATTATCGTACCGTAAAATACCGTAAAAATCGATCATTCACTGCATCGATTTCGCGGAATCATCGTAAGGTACACGTCCAGTGAAAGATTTGATAACTAAGTGCAGGAATTTCAAGAATAAATTCGAAGACTAAAGCTATAAATTTTTGCACGAATGTTGTTTTCAATGGCGAATTTTGTTAAGAGTAATTAACAAAGCATGTTCAATCACTTCGAATTCAATAATCAAATATCTTAGTGAAAAAAACAACGTGTCTAATTGTACCCATTGGGTAGTTCACAACAATTGGATATATCTCCGAACTTGCGGGACATTAGGTCGCCATTGTTCTACCAGAAAGAGTTGTCTATTAGGATTAATATAAAAGTTTATGCTCGCCTCTATTAAACTGAATTTTACGAAAAATGTATCCTTGCTCGCCTGAAATTAATTTGATTTTTCTACATTTCATTCATTCGTGGTTAAACAGGTATCCAGTGATTAAAATTTAGTATTATAACAGAAATCATTTCCATACGGAGCACTTGATAAATAGGTAGTGCTTTTCGCATGTACCTTATTTTAAAAATTCGTGACTAACTTGAATGTAAGTACTATAAGCTTACCTGAGCCAGTATGTTCTGTTATACGTCGTCGAACTATCCAGGTGAGCAGCACAATAGCTGCAGGTGCATCTAAGTTCGCACTTAATAGAAAACACAACAGATGTACAGCGGAAGTCTTCAATTAACGGACAGGGACATAAAAAGCGGATACGACGTTCCGCTCTTTGTTTACAAAATCTATAATATCGTGGCCTAACTTCGAAACCGCCTGTGAGAAATAAGTTCTGCTGTTCGAACTAGTGCTTGCGACAGGCTGTAAGCAACGCATCGCAAAAATGGCGACGGAACGGAGGACACGTGTGGAACATTTGGTGGTTGATGCAAACGCATTTATTCGAAATGTGAACGTTTTTGTGAGTATTCTAGAGGTACAAATTATCGACTTAATATTTAGCGTTCTAGCTCTCATCGTCAACGAAAAGAGTATATTGAGTAGTCTCGTGTTTGTTGAAAATATGGTGAATGTGCGTACTCTTATTGTAAGGAACAACATTCTCCTTTACTTGAAGAAGTCAATTTTTTTGCGATTTGATTGAATTCGATAACTGATAGTAGATCGATAGTACTGCACAAACAAAAGAGTTTTGACGTCGACGCTTTATTGTGGTACCAGCTATCCAGCGTATAACGAAGCTTTTCATAAGCAACGATAAACTAATTGTGGAACTGATTTAGTTCTTATATGCCGGCCATTCGGTCAGCCAATTGATTACAGGATTTCTGACTTCACTAACATTACTAGGACGTTTCTTTCAAAACTGACAGGAACTTGGTGAGAACATCTACACATTGCCAAATGTCGTTTCGGAAATCCGAGATGCTACCACTCGACAGAGACTTCAGGTATTACCCTATGAACTAAAATTCCGAATTCCCGCCACGGAAAGCATTAAGGTAAGTGCTAGTCAGAGTAAGAAGCACTCTATGGAAGTCGGTTTACAAATTGCTTGTAATAAAGGTTGCATTACTTTACATTACAAACAACATATTTGTAGATGCTATTCTAATTTTTATTTTTCGCGAAATTTATAACCAAACATGTTCGCCTTGTGAACATGATTTTTGTTCAACACTGTGTATGGCGTCCAAGCTTTTCCGTAATAATTACTTGTACTCCGTAATAACTGCTTGATAATTATATAACATTCTTGTTACCCTCCAAAAACTTCAGGCGGTAACAGATTTTTCGAAGAAGACTGGAGATTACCGCTCGCTTTCATCGGTAGACTTGTCCATTCTTGGTCTAACCCATTTTTTGGAAAAGGAAGCTGTTGGCAGTATCAAACATTTGAACACAGAGCCAAAAAGCAACAGACCGCTGATCAATCCGCAACGCGGCCCAATTACATTGGTTGGGGCCATCGAAGTGCCCACTGCATCTTCCGCTACTGGGACAGCAGGCGATCACGTGCACAAAAATCGGGATGAACGTACTAGTAAGATAAGAGAAACATATTTGCGTTTTTCTTATGTTCACTTATCGGCAGCGGTTCAACAGGTTTCAAAAGTTCATCGTTGGATTTTTTTAAGGACGTGCATAAAATATATATTAGTGAAATAGCGAAAGAGAAAATAACTTGTTGGGCATAGCTCTGACGCTTAAGCTTAAGCTAAAACTAAAAACTAAAAATAGCTTTTTTTAGTTTTGAAAAAGAGCAAAGGTCATTTACTTCTCCATCTACTTTATATTTGACTGAGACAGGTCTGCCTATTGTCATTGACGAGGATAAAGATGATACAAGTGAAACTGAAGAGAATATGGACAGCCACGGTATCATAAAACAAATGGACAACGTTTGTCTTACGGAACGCGAGGTTGGCGAAGATCGGCTTTTTGGTTTTGACAGTAACGGTGAAGGAAGTGAAGATGATGAAAACACAGAAGACGAAAACGATGTTGATTCTGGCTGGATCACTCCAGAGAACATCAAACAGGCAAGCTTAAATTACGAGCGATAAAGCTGGGGCAAATCGTGAATGTGTTCGAATCAATATTTACCTTATTTGCTGCATATTGCGTTTACAAATATTCACGGTTTATTTATTATATCAGTATTTACATACAACTAAAGCAGCGCTGATATGGACGTTAATTATCGAATTAAGAAAATCTTCATTTATGAAGAAGCCCACTAGGCGGTTAGTGTTAGAACCCTCCAACGAAAATTGTTATTGAACTGTATATATGATTAGAATTTGTGTGAATAGACCCACTTGACTAATATTCAGTAATTATGATAGTCTTATCAAAGATATTAGCAGGGTCATCTTTATTCAATGCATCGAGTTGTGTATACTGTGACTGATTACAGTTGCTCGACATTTTAGGTAAAACGCACATTGGGTCTGGGTCAAGTAGGTGCCCACCAAGACGAGGAAATGCCACAGGTAGCATGTATTACTGCTGATTTCGCCATGCAAAACGTGCTTATTCAGATGGGTCTGCATTGTCTTTCAATGGATGGTATCTGCATCCGCCGAGCCCGAACATACGTCCTCCGATGCTTTGCTTGCTTCAAACGTACGTCCGATATGACCCGCATCTTCTGTCCCGCCTGTGGGAATAAGGGTACCCTAAAGAAGGTAGCGGTTGAACTCGATGAAAATGGCGAACTCAAGATGTTCATCAACTATAAGCGGCCCATTAATCAAAGAGGACTGCGCTATCAGTTACCGTTGTTTAAAAGTACGTTCTACTTTGCAAAGACATAACTTGAACTGCTGAACACATACTTGGGCCCCGCATATTCTAGAAAAAAATCAGTGTATTCAATTGGGCTTCACTTGGCGGCACTACGTGGGGTTGACGAGCACGTTTTCTAAGCAATGGTCCATGTCGCCCCTTTTGGTACATCTGGTGTAAGAAAATCAAGTAAACTTTTTCTATAAAGAGCTAGACATTTTTCATTTAGAAGGACAATGCTATGGATTTTAATTAAGGTAAACATGTTGTTTAATTTATTTTAATTAACATTCGGATCGATCTTTTTTCAAGGTGGAAAACATTCAAATAATCCTATTCTGAACGAATATCAGCCTCGGCCTCAGAATAAGCTGCCTAAAAAGGCTTTAAAAAAAATCAGTGCGCTCGATCCCGATTATGCTGCTCAGGATAGTCCGTTTGCGAAGAAAGATGTGCAATCGCGTGCTGCGATGCTCGGTGTTCGGCAAATTGGCGGATTACGACCTGGCCTCGACAGAGATCCGTACATGAACCGAGTGCGGACGGGCAATAAAAAGCGGAGAAACAGACACTAACAGTAATAAGATCCTTGCATTCACTTGTGAAACCCTCAGACACTGCCTGTTTAATTAATATTCTTTGTGAAATTAGTAGCAAGTTCGACATAGAGGCGTTATTCGATGCTGAAGTTGAGAGTTAATCACAAGACAACATTGTTTTTCTAAAATCAAACTGGTATGATTATTATACAAGAAATATGCTAGATGAGGTGGCCATAGTAATTCAATATATGAATGTATATATTTCGGGTTAAAGCATAGTTTACAACGGAACTGATTATTGACTACGATAATAAAAGCATAGAAATGCATATTACGCGAACGGTTGGAAGAGTACGGTAACACCACATTGTTGTTTTTTATTCATCTAGCCTAAAATTATTCTGTCGTTAGCCTAAAATTATTCCGTCGGATTAGCACACAAGTTTCACTTAATTATTAGTCGGACTTTCTAGTTAGAACTGTATTCTTTAGTAAACAAAGAGTTGATGGAGATACTAGCCTAGCAAAAAAAGGACAAAAAGTGCCAGTGTGTTTAGCTACTTCAAATGAATCATAATTCTGAATTCTATTATAATATATCAATAGAGTACTCGCTATTCAATAGTTATAGCAATACTTCCAATATTTTGCGATATTTTTTAAAAGCTTTTTCATCATGTCAATCTAAGAAATTGAGGGCTAATGTGAATTGAGTACTATGGACCACAACATTACGGTGCTGTTGTTCGAGAAGTGTACCTGCCTTAAACTCTTTACAGTAACTCTTCATCCGCATTACGTGTGCTATCCGGATGAATACAGATAATAATAAGGTAAATATATTTATCAAAAAAGCTTCACGTGTAACTCTAAGTTTGTGTTGTTTCTTAGGATCCAGTTGGATGTATCATTTTTTCAAGCTAAGTCATTCCAATGACATGTACGCTAACGCAAAGAATTCCTTGCTGCCAGCCGTTCGTGGTCCTTCCTTTGTTTAAATAAAAGTAATTTTAACATGTCTTGTTGCAGAATTTTTATGAGTTTGCATAACGATAGTATGACAACACGGAGTAAAACTCCGTGTTGTCATAATATCGTTATGAGTTTGCCGTGTGTGACAAATTCACGAGCAGAATGAAAGTTAAAATAAATAGCATGAATGAACACGTTGTGATGTGAAGTGTTCCATTGCGTTAAGCTTCCAAGAGCCAAAAAGCTATGGCTTCAGTCTGTAGGCTAACTCTCTGTGATTATCAACTAAATATTGCCCCTGTCATATATTGCCTTGTATGTGACCGATTCACGTAGCTTCGTAAGAACCGCAGTCACTGTTCTTTGTTTCAGTTGCCGTGCTTTTCTTGATTTCCACAACTAATATAACAGCCTTGAAAAGCTTTGGAACCATACCCTTCCCTAACCATCTGGTAGATTAGAATCAATGATAGCAAATAAATCTAATAGCCACAATACTTACAGAAGGTGCTAGATGCATTACCTTCTAATTCAAAATATATTATTCCTTGGGGTCGACAGGCAATTTTTAGCTTCAAAGATATGTAATCTATGTGAGATACCTGTGTAAATATGTTTTTATTATGCAGTGTCGTGCGGCGATTAGCGTTTACCGATCGTTTATAGTGAGACGATTGGAACGGGAGAAGCTGAGTAGCCAAATGACGGCATTATCTTTAGAACCATTGAGCTTACTAGTGAGCATAATGCTAAAAAAAGACGGTGTAATCGTAATTAATTATCAGTAGTGTTATGTGCTCAATGATTTTCACGTTTAGTCGCTGTCTACCTATAATATTAAAACAATTTGCTGCGCTATCTTTGCCCTTCCAAGCACAAAGAAAGACTTTTCCCTTACGTACATTCTATAAAACTAGAGTTAGCCATGCGCCGACATGAAATTTATATTTTAGACCAACGAGTTAGGCAATACAGGTCGAACTTTTGATACGTTGTTTTATTATTGCAACTACATACAAAAAAGCGATATGCACATACATATGATATCTGTATATATGTATTTGTGTAGGCTTCATTTTCGTCATAGTAAAGAGTACATAACACACCTAACGAAGGGAAAAGAGGACATCACAGCGTCAATGTTATTATCGAGTATTTGTTAAGACCATTGTTTTAACGTATAGTGACATGTAGATTCATGTAGATTCAGATTAAATTCTTTTTTTTTTAATTTTTTTAATGTCCGCTTCAGAATTTTTCAAGCCTCTATTAACTCATTAGGATTTTGAAAACGTGTATAGTTAGTTCACTCCTCGTTTAATCCTTGTGTGTAAAAATGTGTGGGACGTTAATAGACTCGGATAAACACAAAATCTATTTTAAATAATCTTTCCATTTGGCCTTTGATTATATTCACACGCATCGGTATATATCACATGTTTTGCCTCACTTTTTTTAAAGAATTTTCATTCGTTTCCAGGCTTCTCTATCAACAAGCTGAAAACAGATCGGTTACATTCGTGTGGTACAATATGCAAAGCATTTCTGCAGATGAAAACGATGTTGCATTCTGTTACATCTAGTGTATTGCATATATATATATATATATATATACATATATATATATATACTGCGAATATTCTGTTTTCCCAATCAAAATGTGAATTCCGTGTCGCGACAAAGCAAGGAAAAATTCTAGCAAACTTGCATCTGTGGGTTTCCTAACTAGGTTTAATATAGGACACAGTTCGGGATATCGCGGTTAAAGCGTAATACAATATAAACAAATTAAGATGCTTACAGAAGTTTACTAACACAAAAAAAGTACAGCAAATGTTTAGCCTTTCCGGCCGAAACTACTGTGTAATCGGAACACTAAGACCATCTGTCATGATGTCATTTGTCAATATTTTGCCATGTCCTATATAAGAACATTTAAATTTAAACATGTGAGGCTTGAAGTCTTTCACAATCTATAACAAGCAAGACATATCTTTCGCCCTGCAGTACCGTTAGTTTATCTAATTTTTAACAATAAAGGGCAATCTTTTAAAATATAATCTGTCATGGATCTCACACAAACTGTAGACTTGTTCGTATCTGTTACATTCGTTAACTATATCATTTAAATATCCCAGTCTATTTTATGTTTTTTCCTGGCATATTTGTCCTTAAGCATAATACGTTCAGTTCATTCAACCCCATACAATATGATGTCAATAAGGACAGTTATGATATCATCAGTCGGCCATCTACAAGTACAAAAATCAAGGAAAAGCCGTAATATTTTGTTTTAACATTAATAGTTAACTAGTCGAACGCAGAAAATACGTATGAATGTTTCCTTATCATTATTACCATTGTAATCCTGATAATTATCGTATATGCAAAAATGAAGCGACTTAGCCGAGAAGCTTAACGAAGCGTGACACTTTCGGGTCAGTAACAGCATTGCAATGCCAAGAGAGAAAAAGAGAGATTGTCCAGGTCATGAACGATTATAAATCAATTCCAGGGCAACTCTCGAAGAAAACAAATAATCGATATGCGGAGTGTACTGCACAGCAAAAAGCACCTGTTACCTGTAAAGTTAGCAATGCACCAGCTAAGGAATCGAAATTCAAGGATAATCTAATTTTTTGGTACTTGGTAGGAAGCAGTATGTTTAAAAATATATATATATAATCTATATTCTATCTGACCTAATGTGTTTTTTTGTAGAGGAAGCTGACCATTAGTGAGATAGACGGTCTGAGTCTTGGTGTCACGTGTATGTAAGTCGTGCTTCTCAACGTTTCTGTGGATATGTATATCGGGATAAAAAGCTAAAACTGCCTTTGTGGTCTCAGAAAAAAAGACAATTTCTCTCTAGTTTTTGTTTTCGTGGGTGCACTGCTCAACACTTGTATTTAAAATATTTATGTGTTTTGTGTCGGCACCAAATAACGAAGCAGCTGCGTGGTTTTACTCTCTCTCCCACTGGTGACAGCACCACTACGCCGCGCCATCTGCGCCGTCACAAACTTCTCTGACCTAGTCATAATTTCTGCTTTCCTTGCTGGCCCCGGGTGACCCTCCAATAGCTATTACCAATAGCAATTGTGAACAACTTCTTTTGCTTTCATTTTCATTAGTTGCTTTCATTTGATTCATTAAGCCCCTGATTAATTAGTTCCTACGTGTGTTGTTGATATACAGCATAGTGCTGTGGTGGTATATTACTCGCGAGAAATGCTTTCAATTCTTCGGTGAATTTTCGCCCCTTAACCCGTACAATAATTTCTGACACGGCTGTCGTAACATTATTGTCCACGTTGTCAACTGTCCGCGCCTTTTTTGATGGGGGGCCACTTTTTGGCGTGGCAACATACGGAGCAATCGTGTTCGTCAGACATTTGCCTTCCTCATTTTGCATATCACGCATCGGACAGACGCTGATTTTCAGCGGGATATCCACCTGGGTCGACAATAGCGATGGAAAGAAACATGTCTTTTAGTCGAGATATGATAAAATATCGCAGATCATAGAGATACTGGACACATTCAGATTTGTTTCACAAAAAAAAGGACAACGAAGTAGAAATCCTTCACTTTTTTTTTAAATTTGTTATTAGACCATAACAAGGCTTAACTTGGAATGCCTTTTCGAAAACTAGTGCTATATTTGACGCGTGTCTATGTTGTACAAATAATCATAATTCTTGACGACAAACTTTTGAATCGTTTTGTGCTTTATAACATACCTTTGAAAGGATCTGGTCTTTATAATGAAGCTCGGCGCACAATGAGGTTTTCTTTCGGGCTATCATCATGCAGGACGAAAGACAGACAAACGAAAAATTCTCTGTTTGACCGGATGAGCTGAATGCGTCCTGCAGAACAGGGATTCTAATTCCAAAGTCCGCTAATAAAAAATAAAGGAAGCGCAATAAAACTATAATAGCCATATTGTAAAAGTAAAGACATTGTTAACACCCAAGACACGCAGCCTACTGATACAGTTTTCCGGTACGTTTCCAGAGCCTTTATGGCTCGATTTCTAGCTCATGAATTTTTCGAGGTTACATGTCTCTTTTTATGGCTAACCAAACATAGGAATGCAACAGTCTTCATTACACTAAAAATAAACTGCCTGCTACGGCAATTAATGTTTTATGATTATCATTATACTCAAGAGATTGTCTACCGATTCATTCAAACATACCGGTATCGGGCGGCCCGGAGTAAGTTGCGAATCGTTCGCCACAGTATTGCAACACATGGCGAGGATGGTCAATCTTTTGTTCTTGATTTTTAAGAAGGTGATTGGGACAGACCTCGACAGGTTCCCCTTGATGATGTGCTTCCTGGTAGCGCAGACACACAACTAGACGCATATGGGTAGAATATGTCCCGTCGCACGTGAATCGAAAAGGCACCTTGACCGCATTCTTCAAATACAGCCTTCTTAGCGTGGAAGAAAAGATCTGTGGAAAAGCCAATGCACATCGACTTTAATATAAAAAATTAACTAAAATTTAATTATGTATGTGAAAATCTCGCCAGGGAACTCTCTACAGCTGCTTTTCTACCGGGACCTACGCTACCCTAGAATTAATTCGGCCTACTGTGTATTTCTGACCGTACGTTGAATCAGAGGAGGCGGCGTTAAAAACTTAAAAAACCAGATAAGTCGCGCTTACGGCCCGTCTAGAAAAAAGAAACAGCGAACCGCTTTATTTTCATCGCGCAAAACAATATCTTCATTGAAACACATAAAAAAATTCGCCTTTGCAAAAAGAATATAAACCATAAGATTATTTGAATAACAAGTATAATGATACTATCCGAAATATGAGATCGCTTTCATAATCTTCACTTACCCAAGGAGTGGCCTTGACGATTTTAGGCTGCTCAAATGTTCCCACTGTCAAAGTCACCTGTACGTCCCCAATGCTCTTTTGTGATGAGCCCTGCGATAAAACGACAAGATTCTCGAGGTTCTCAAGCCCGAGATCATGCTGAAGAACATTCATTGTATCTGAAAATCATACCCCGAGGGACTTCTAGCTTAAGCATGTTACGATAATGCACTTACGTGAGCGTGAATGGGTACACAATCTGAATTGAAACAATAAACTGTAAATTTTGTATAATGCATCAATAGGTACAGGATAAATTATATTTTTTAATAAAATAAAATACATAAATTTACATTAAAACTTAATTTGGATTATGTCATTTATATACCAGAAACAATATGCGTAATAAAAAGCATATACTAACAGCTTAACTACTTCGGGTAACTCTGTTTGTTTAATTTTCCGCTACAGCTAATTAATGTTTCTAATAGAACTGCGCTCCGTATCAGGGCCGACGTGCTCTTTGGAGTCTGGTATTTTAGCTTGTTTGTTGATGAATAATTATCATAAATAACCGTACTACTACTACACTAAATTTCAGCTCACAACAACTAGATTTCGGACATGAGCAATTATTACACTAATTAGTTGGCCTATGCACATTTTGAACAGAAGTCTATGTTTAGAAATAATTTTGCGGTTTTGTGCGCACCACTTTAAATATGGACCGAACACTTGAGTGAGGATTAGTGCTTTTAATATGAATAAACCTTGTGTACGCGGTCCCATAGAAAAACGTAGACCTGCAGATTTGGTACTTTCACTTGCAGATATATGAGTTGGTAATCAATAAAAATATATACATAAATACTTGTCTCATTAAGGTCCTTCTTTCTTGTTAGTCACCAACTTATTTTATTGTAAACCATTTGCGATCTGCATCTAGTTGTGTGAAAAAAGACTTCTTTACCTGTTTTCAGGTAGGCGTTAGAACAGCTTATTGTACGACTGAGATACGTCATTTCAATAGCATGATACATGGCATGTATTTACGCATATTTCTGTTTAAAATTTAAATCATATCGAAATTTATGTAAGTATGAGAAATGAAATCATAACACGATTGTTTCCTGCAAAACAAAAACATTCCACCGAAAGACAACAATAAATAGTGTTAGGAAGTAACGAATCAAGTTGCCTTTGCTAGAAATATACACAACACAAAGTACAAGGTGAACTCACTTTGGCTCAGCGGTGGCTCCACCGCCTCTTCCTTGGTATCACCTGAAGTTACTGAAATTACAAATAAAATTCCAGGTTAAATGCCTGTTACAATTGTCATCACCTTCCCCTTTCATTTACTCATTATTTTGTTGCGCTCAAAATTGCCCCATAGAGAATTACTGACACTAAACCATTCACACATTTTTTTTTCAGAGAATCAAACCACCATCGATTAAACTTTCAAATTAACACAAATTCGACTTATTACGCATCTTGACGTAACACTGCGGTCAGGCTGTAGCCAGCAGTAATCACCACACCGTCCCCACTTGGCCAGTTTATTGGTGGAGACACACATAATTTAAAGATAGAACCCGCCATATCTTGCTTTAATTCTTTACGACAGATCTATAGGTGTTTATACTTACCGATGTTGCCAGAGATGAATGTGTTTTCAAACAGTATGTTTTCATCCATGATCGTCGGTCACAATTATTCGCTTTTCTTTTACCGTCGCCAACTGTGGTTGTGCATGGAACGCTTATAGCACACACATGTCTTGGAAATTTATACAGTACAGTTTTAGAAAAGTGACACAATTATATTTGGTTGCGTATTTGTCATTGTTGGCAGTCAGTGCATCTTTCAACTTTCGGCCTAGTGCTATTGCGTTTAAGACTCCCGCTCCTGTCGCATCCGCAAATTGACGGGGTGAAAGCAGACAGCCGACGCGACAAGTGCGATCGACCAGAGAGAGGCCACAGTTTGAGATATGCACACTAATGAAAATATTATGGTTCAGATACCTCAGCGGAAAAACAGTGAATATGATTTCGTTTCATTCTCATTTTTTCGGAGTTACTCGAAGAAAAAGTTTCTCGCAATAGCTACGAAATAATCTAATATCAGTCTTTATGTTAATTATATGTAAGTTGGTTTCGATTACGAAATAACTCTAGAGTGTTTTCTTCAAGACAAATAAATCTTGTTGAGTACGTTTAGTCGCAAAATCGTTAGCTGACCTTGATTAATTCGCGATTACGTGGGATTAATGTACATAGATCTAGAATAATCTAAGGCCTATAGGGAGTAGTCTATAATATCGTACACTGTCTATCCAGCGGAATTTGGCGGGCAGCAGACGAGATTGTTAAAACAATGAAACCCCATAAACCTCTATAGTAAGCTTTCCTTTTTGTTATTATGTGCCTCCATCAAACTTGCACTACATTATACGGACCAAATGTGCCCTTTTAAGTAAATAACGTATTACCGTACAGCGTACATTAGCAATTAAGTGAAAATAACTCGGATTAACATGAACCCAGTATACTGTTCTAAAACCAATCAAGGTGTCACAAGGTTGTTATCAACCAGTGTCGGATATTTTGATTTTGTTACTCACCCTCTCTCATGATTTGCGTCAACCCTCCTCACTTTGCGCGTTCTTTTAGCCTTCTTTCTAGAGGCGATTGTGCCAAACATAATCGACAAAGAAGAAGTGGCCGCAGCTAACGCAGCCGGGACGAAGAGATACGACAACGTAATCCAGCAGATTTTGCTCACCAAATTCGCCCGGTCGTACAGCTGTTGAGGATTATCGTCTTTCTACTATATCATACTTATTCTAATTGTCTGTTTCGTCTATGCATAGCAACACTATCATGTGCGGTTGGTGTTTATTGTGTACTCCTGGTGCTACTGCGGCAAACAACCACACTAATGTGCCGAACTACGAGGAATATTGAGTAAGGCGTCTAACAAACAACAAAAAACGGGAAAGTCGGGAGTGTCGGGGGGGGGGGGGTAGTTCCTTTACGGGTATATCGGAGTAGTATAAGGGTATTCTGCGATCAGAGGCTGCGGGATCCAGTGACGCAGAAGTGACGTTCTTGCAGCAGCCCTGATGTAATTTCGGTTGATTAAGCTGCGCACAGTTTGCTTTGGAGATCCGACACAACGTTAACTAAGAAGTACTGGAGTGTAGAGCTGCTGCGGTGCATTGGTGTCGTCATGCAGAAATATGAACGGCTCGAAAAAATTGGTGAAGGTTGGTTACGGAATACTTGCACTAATACTATGGCAGTCGATTAATTAGATGGCGCTCAATTCTTTATAGAAAGTAGAAGAAGTATTAGGTTGAAACAGCTCAGTGGAGTTGAAGAGCTCATTAGCTTAGCTCTCCTTACATTAGAGGTTTAATAATTTCAGTGCTTACTGAGAATATTCGAGAGGTTATATGTATAACCTAACGAATATGTATATAGTAGATTGATATATTTAATGTCTTATCTTTTGACGTAATCATAATACGAGCTTGCATGTCTTAATTCAACCCCTGGACACAATTTTTAATCAATATAAAAGTTATTAGAGGCAAATGATTTTGTAGTCGATTTAAGAATGTACTTTTCCTAAGTGTACCTTTTTAAATATATTGATTTTTTGTGAGATTACCGGCGTCACTAAATTATTGATTCGAACATGTAGGCGCGCATGACTTATATACCAGTAGAGATATTTCTAGTGTAAGATTAGAATGTATTCAGAGAAAACATAGCGCCCCATAGTCATTTGAATTACGTTCCTTCCAAATGCGTTGGGGTTTCGAATGTCATTATTTTTTGTTATATTACATGATGTTGTATTTACAAAAAGTGAAGAGGCATGTCTGTTATTTCGTTTATGTTGGAATGGACGTTGGAAGACACATTTTTCTTTTCAAAATAGACGCCTATTTCAGTGAACCAGCGATTTTTTTTACATCAAAAGAGTCAGTGTTCATAACTCCCGTAAGCAGTCGTGCTTCGGAACTGTCCGTTAGTTTACGAAAACAGACGTCTCAAAACGATAAATCACATCAGAAAGATTAGGACGAGGGCTGTTTGAAACCAGACAAAGTTCAAAGTGTCATTTTCGCAATATGAAACGTATATTGAGACCACGTTATGCAAGCGATGAGCTGGTCAACTACGATTTAAATTCTGTGTTTGGATAATTGTACGCTTTTTTTCTCTACAAGACCTACACCATATAGTACTTAGTAGCCACTAGCGTATCAATCAATAGAAAAATTTCTCTAAGGAAAATGGATATTGCGCTCTAAACGCGACAGTATCTATGTGAAACTTTAGGCAAAGTTATGTAATGCAATCTACGCATTTAATATCTACGAATGTTTTAGGAAAGTAACTGCTTCCTGCAAGTGTTACAACATGAAAAGCAACAATAAGAAATTACAGTGGATATGTTTGTATCAAAATCATACAGTATATTGCAATCGTTTTTTCTGACGATAACTCGATGTGTATGCGTGACCCTCGTCCATCATAGTGCGTCGCATAAAAGAAAGACACTACTCGAGTCTTAGGATTAAACTAATAATACTGATAGATCGAGACATCGTGATTAGCAGTCGTTGGGGTGCCTTTACCTTAGAATTGCCCTAAAACAGTGTAATGTTTCCATGTGTGCATGTTCCCTATTTTTTTTTTTGCAGGAACGTATGGAACGGTGTTTAAAGCCAAGAATAAGGAAACGCAAGAGATTGTGGCCCTTAAGAGGGTTCGGTTAGACGACGATGACGAGGTACGTTCGCGGCATTGTCATCATTTTTAGCCGTTAATCAGTAAGAACTGGTTACGCAGACTAAACAATGCTAATAACATATCGAAGTTCTAAGCAAATACAATGAGTGCATAATAAATCAAGTAAGCAAATGTTTAACATAGTTTTCTATTATATTCAGGGTGTACCGAGCTCTGCTTTGCGTGAAGTGTGTCTTCTGAAGGAGTTGCCGCACAAAAATATTGTTCGCCTGCACGATGTGCTTCATTCGGAGAAAAAGCTCACACTTGTTTTCGAGCACTGTGATCAGGATCTTAAAAAGTACTTCGATTCGTTAAACGGGGAGATTGATCCCGATGTTGTACAGTCGTTCATGTACCAGCTTCTTCGAGGGCTGTCGTTTTGTCACAGCAATAATATTCTACACCGTGATCTTAAGCCACAAAATTTACTTATTAATAAGGTTTGTTTGCTTTTGTTGTTGCTTATTGTTATTTAATTATTGTTGTCATTTTTAAAAGCGATAGTATTCCTATTTGGCAAGCCAGGATTTTATGTGCTTTTTAGAGAAAGGTTTATTTTAGCCATTCTACGTCATTATTGAAAATACATTTCAAGGTTTATTTCTTCTTTTGACCTTAATTGTTTAAAATACTGAAATAACTAAAAATAATAACAATATTCATACCATAAGAGAGGTTACAACTAGCAATCTATGAGTTTTTTTTACAGTGGGTATTGTCTAGTGACTCTCCTAATGTCATTTTGTCTTATCTTAAGCTATATCTTAAGGGGGGGGGGGGGGGTGTTCAAAAAGTTACGCAATCCTAACAAAAATATAGCAGTGTTTAAGGGTTTTAAAAGTAACCGCTCATGAAATCTATTTTCATTCTTTGTCTGATAAATACATATCCAGATAAAGCAAAAAAACTAAGAGAAGAGCACAAAACTCCGGCTGGAATCGCTGGCCGTCTCCAAAGTTTTAACTAAGAGTTGTTGTCTCCTGAGATAAATTCTTCTAGATTGTTTTACTTCCTTCTTCAATTTGAAACAAACGTCGCTAGTTGAACATGTATACATTATATACAACAAAAATAAATCGCACGAAAGATTACCTTTCAAACTAGTCGACTTCGGTCAATGTTCCATAGAACTGCGTATTCCATTGAGCTGTATCTTTAAAAACTAGTTTAGAGGTAAATTTTCTATTTTTTTTACTATTTCACAAAAAATGTAAATTTTCTGATTTGTTGTGTTTTTTATACCTCAGAGTAAATGTACCTGTAAAATAAACTAATGTGAAAAGCAACTAAATAAACTAATGTGATAGCATAATATCTGATGAGGAGGCTTTACAAGACAGTATAACGTTGTTTTCTTGATTGTTGTGAAGTGGTTTGAACTGTTTTAGTAGAATACATGTATGATGGTAGAATATATATATATATATATATATTCTACCAAAACGGTTCTAAAATTGATAAAACTTTGGCAGCTGTTTACTATAACGGGTTCATCCGCCACTTTTGGTATCAGATAAAGCTCGCTAAAATAAAGCAAAACAAACTTATCAAAGTGATCAACAGTACGCCGCCTTCGGATGATGACTAACGCTCAGCTGTTACCTAATCTTTATGAGCTGGATGAATCCGTATTAAAAAAGCTTCCTTTTTTGTTGAAATCGGCAATCCAGTTATTGTTAGTTTTTTAAAAGCCATTTTTGATACACTTAAGTTTCTCATACAGAAATCAATGGCCGTTTTAGACAGGAGAACATCAATAGCCAAGTGAGCCTTCCAGATAAACTCCAACGACTACTTTAAGACTTTTGCGCCTTTTTGCACTCTTTTAATTTTTTGGTTAACCTGAAGCTTTGTACACCAGTTCAACTTTTGCCCTTGCTTTACCAGGACTTTTAGTCTGCTATCAGACCAAACTTTAATTATCTGAACGACAGTTCGGTGAGTTTCCGTCTACCAATATCGTTCGGCGCACAGTCACCATACAAGTTTCGCTGATTTAAAAAAGGAGTATCCTGAAAAGACTAGTTAATCTCGAATGGAAGCTGTGATCGTGGTGGATTGCGGTTGTATCGGATAGACGTGGCCTTCAAGAATGGCACTTCTATCGCATACACAAATTTCGCTGAAATATCTGCCCATGTTTAGATATAAGTATGGAAAAGAAATATTCTCAATTTAGACGCGGTATATATATGTACCGGACTGCAATACGTATATTATATAAAGTTGTCAAAAAAATATTGACCGCGTTTAAGCCAAAGTTAGAACATATATCTTTCACATTGTAAAATAATGTTGCTAAACAATATATGCACAGTTTTGATTGATGGCCCTCTGCCATTTTTGGCAACACCGTAATTCCATCAGTGTTGAACTATATGGTTGCTTAGCGAAAAATTGTGACAAGCGATTTTAGCACGACACTATTAAAACCAAATTAATAGATTAAGAGTGTTCTGCAAAGACCGAAACAGATAATAGAGTGATGGAAGAAATTCGCGCTATACGGGTTATGCATTAAAACTTCGTATCTAAGCTTTCTAATTTTTTTTTTTCATTTTGTGATCCTGGTATTGTCTTGGTGAGAGACAATGCCTCTTCTGTTCACTGGTTTCAGTCTATTTTTTAAATGGTTTGTTCTAATGTTATTAGTTGTTGATAGTGGAATAGACGTTTGAATCTATCTCTTTGCCAAGCGGCAGCAACTTTAAATGCTTTGTAGTTCCACCACACATATAGCATCATCGTCTTAACATCAGTCTGGGCTTTGCCACAAATTGTGGAGCACAATTTTTATTTGCACATGATAGTTGTATGTGATCCATTTCATCCGTGATCAATCACTTTATAAAAAATATCGGTTGGGTTGCGTTTCTGTACAGTTTCGCAGATGAAAATGCTATCGAGCAAAATCCTTCGCGTTAAATGCTGTCGCACCCAAACATCAGGTCTCCTTCTGCAGCCAGCTGTCTTCAAATAGTTCAAAACTGTTTGGCGGTAAATGTTTAATTTCTCGGTGATATCATGGCTACTCGCATGTCAGTCTTGCTCAACTATCGCGATAATCTCATCAACTTTTTTCGAATTAATCGGCCACTACGAAAAGCATCCTTTACATCAGAATTTCCAGAACGAAAGCGACACAATCACCTTTAGGCGGTTTCTTCTGATAACATATCTTGACCACATACAGCCCAAGTTTTTTTTTATAGACCTAGGCGCAATATGTGTCTTTATAGTAATAAAATTGATTTCTTTTTTCATTTTTAAGGCAATGTCTCAAGTCTGCATTTCAACAATTTTAGCACATCTACTACCGCCAAGTCTCAGTTTTCGAGTAGCACCAAGGCCGACCCGATGCGATTAATACTACCTGAAATATGTGATTTAAAAGCCACCTATCTAGAAGAACGGTCAATAATTTTTCGACAAGCTAAAATACGTGAGCTGCGTGAACAGTACTTGATATCCTAGGTCCAAAGTAACGCTCAAATACAATTTTTTAAAAGTACTTTCGTTTTGTTGGCTCAGTTGGCGTATATGTGAATACTGATGGACTCGAACCGGAGACATTTAATAGTCAATATATATATTTATACATGATTACAAATGCATGTTACTGAATAGGGTGAACGACAGGACTCTCAATCTTTTCTTCAAAAATCGTAATTTTTACTGATAATAAATACTAGTATACATTTATACTCATTTTGATTATTGAACAGAATGGAGAACTGAAGTTGGCGGATTTTGGCTTGGCGCGAGCGTTTGGAATCCCAGTGCGCTGCTATTCGGCCGAGGTGGTGACTTTATGGTATCGACCACCCGACGTACTCTTTGGAGCTAAATTGTACACAACCTCAATTGATATGTGGTCCGCGGGATGCATCTTTGCCGGTTGTTATCTGTTAATTCAGTATTATTTTTTATTCTTATCATAGGTATTTCTCAGAAAAGCAATGCCTTTTTGCAAATGATAAATACATCGAATCAGCATACTAAGTCAATCAGAAACACGTAGTAATAGAATTTTAAAAAATACTATTACTAGTAACAATCAGAAAGATTCAAACATCCGTCTTTCAGCTTACCCACCATCAGTTATAGCAAACAAACCTAGTTAATTCCAAAGTGGACATTATGTTTACTATTTTAGACTATACTCTTGAATTGACTATTCCGTTGTTTATTGCGCCAATCGCAGAACTGGCTAATGCGGGCCGACCGCTGTTTCCTGGATCAGATGTCGACGATCAGTTGAAGCGCATATTTAAGCTTCTCGGCACACCCTCTGAAGATACGTGGCCCAATATGAGCAAGCTGCCTGAATATAAAGCGTTTCCGATTTACCATCCAACAACTAGCTTTTCGCAAGTAAGTGCAGTCGATTCAGCAAAGAATGCACAGAGCAAGTGTTACTTTGTTTTATCGCCATCGAGCTGCACTCACAGTTGTTTATTGGCTAGTATCTAATTGATTTATTATTATATTTTATTATATGTAGACAATAAGAACGTTTAAATATAGAGTTATAGTATTTGCCATAAATGTGTGCTATTTTTGATGCACTTAAAAAGATCATTTACAGAAGTACGTTTAACTAGGCATATAACTACTACGCACTATTCTAGACATCTTAGTCTTACCAAATACGTATCTCTGACCGTTCTTCGTGTGATGCAGGTGGTGCCCAAATTAAACCCGAAGGGGCGAGATCTTCTTCAGAAATTGCTCGTATGCAATCCCCAGGGAAGACTCTCGGCCGACGAGGCCATGCTCCACTCGTACTTCCACGATTTGTCTCTTACAACTCAGCAAACTCTTCCTGGCGTATAGCTTTGTGCGTGTAGTTTATCGAGCCAGCCTATTATCAACGACAGTTACAGAGATCAGATGTAGGATTGGAGAAGAATGTGTCCTTCGTGCTTTGTAAAATCAGATGCACGATGCATAACCAAAGGTGCAAACCAGACTATCAGCTTATACAGCAGCGGGGTGCCACGGACAGCGGTGTTTGCTAACCCTGATAGTGGAGGTGCAACATTACGTACAAAAGGAGCAGTCTAGCCGACTAACTTCATAACGATAAAACTGAAGTTGATAGTGCAGTAATGTGCGTTTTCGCTTATGCGTTTCCCTAATTCTGTCAGCCAGGTGGATTCAGTACCGCCTTTCTTCTCATGACTGTTATATGCGGTACAAAACGTATTCGGCATTCGCCCGGCTACGTCCATGAAGAACGAAACGCATAAAAGTGTATCTCTTCATCGGAAACGTTTTACATAAAATATTCATGCGCATCATACATTACACAGAGGGAAACTTTGTGTGTTAGGCCAAAATTACGGCATATAAAAGAGGATTTGCGACTGCGCTGGACTTTCGGATTCAACATTGACGCTCCCTCACACAAAACAACGCTTCAGGTCTATTGAGACAGGTCCCGTTTGGATGCTAGTGAGTGCTGAGGCTAGAAGTATTTATCGGCAAAAAGCATTGCCTGGCAGATAACTACCTAGCTGACTGGACCTAGATATAATCGTGAGCAAGGAAAAGTGGACAGAAGGCACTGATTAAGCTAGAAGTTAGCAAGCAAGCATCTACGATAGCACTTTCCCCTGCTTTATTTATCAGAGGGTTAATTCGCTGTGTTATGAAAGCAAAAACGGTATATAGGTCTTTTAGTAGCAAACAAATTAGGAAAGCAAGAAGCAGAGTCTAATTAATGGTAAGCTAATTGACACTCGATAAAAGCACATGTACATGTATACAACCTGTTTCCCTTTCACTGTGAATTCCGAGATATAACTGATAATTAAATAATTTGTCTTGTGAACACCTGAGGATGTTTGTCCGTGGCTTGTCCACGGTTACCTCAAAGAGAGTGATGTGGTTTCTGTGAATAGTTTACACAGCTCAGCTCTAGACCAGTTGCTGAACTAGTTTTGACTGATAATGACTGTGTGTGTGAATGACTCATGGAAACAAAAATTAATAATGACAATTCCGTAGTGATTTAAGTTTGATAATATCCAGAACTATAGGACTCCTGCTGCCGTGTCTAAATTTGACAGCCACCATGCCCACAAAGATAAATCTATTTTATAGATACTAAAATAAATATAAATTGATTTAATAGTATATGGCACCAATTCGAGGGGACGATACAGTACCTCCCAGTCTGACTGGTGGTGTGAGTCGAATAATGGAAAATCGCATCTTCTGTCTCCAGGGAGAAATAAATGTCCTTTCGCGTGGATATGCTACCTATATATCCAATACATAGTAATGATGAAATGAATCATTATAATATAATTTAGTAATTATAGTTGAATACAAAATAGGGAAGAATCTAAAAATGCGAGACAGGTTAGTGGGCAGGGAGTTTGCAACGCGTGAATGAAATACGGAAGTGAAATAAAGTATGTTTAAATAAACTGAATAAAGATGTTTTAATTATTTTACAAACTTCATATGGACATATGATGGATGTTAAATGGAAGCTAGATTTGTTAGAAGCTGTACAGGTCACGAGAATATAAAGAATAAACTCGTTTTAACGGATCAGTCCTGAAGCAAACTTTTTGCACAGCTAGATACACCCATGCACAGATGGACATAATTTTCCTAGGTTTTCTGTCATTTTAATTTCAGAGACGATTATAAAGAGCAATTAATTTGCACTGGTATTGTCGGAAGGGAAAAGGGCCGTTGCTACATGTTGATAACTGATTGATGAATGCATTATTGCGAGATGCCTAGAGAAGATAGCCTATCAGAATCAATAGTTAAGAAATGCATGAGTATAAAATGGTATGAAAAAAATTATTCAATTGTTTTGTTAATAAAATATATAATACGTCATGTTTTCCGTGCAACGGACATTATCTACCTTGAACTAAGAGCGTCATGTGTATGTGTATTTCCTTTACGCATGATATTTACATAAAAATAAAATACAGAGAACTTAATTTACTTTCGGTTTGTTCTCTTTTTAAATAGATATGTTCATAAACATGTTTAACAGTACATTAATAATAATAATAATAAGAATACGTGATTTCCAACACTTGGTATGGAAATCTAAAGGTTGGCTGCATCAGGCCTTAGGTCTGTATAAACGATGATTCACCTACTTTCCATGTATTTTTTGCTAGAAGGCTAATTCCACATACTGCTTTGTAACATATAAATATTATATAGATGTCCTGGAAAAATAACATCACCTTCACGCGCAGATTTCCTAGCGCAAGTGAATATATACGAGTAAGCATATTTAGTATTGTACTGTACATATGCTATAATACTCATGGCATCATCATTGTCGTTCATCGTCTATTTTCAGACAAAAAAAAAGAGAGAAAAAAGGGTGAGTAACTGTTGACGCTGGCTCATATGGATGCTGTCTACGTGATAAAAGTTGATATTCCCTGCAAGTCGAGCAAGATGATGAGGACTAGAAGAGAATTGATCGTTTGTAGTTGCAATGATTCTTACACATTGCATTTGTATTACAAATAGAGTGATAAAACTGAAACGAAGCCAAGCGAAACAATATATTGGAGCAGCTGTTTCACACATCGCCTTATATGATACTGTAAAAGCCAGACACAATGATTTGTTTTTACTTTGACCTTGCTTGTGAAAATAATTCGTTGTTTCTTTTTCAAATAATATTAGAATAGAAAAAGTAACGACTTAACAAAAAATAAATAATCTAACAAAAACAAATTATTTGAATTCTAGCAACGAATTAAGTTTGTTGTCACTTTCTACAACCTTTTCTCCCCAATTTTTTACTTCTCGCTCGAAGTTTTTTAACTGGATTTTTAGACCCTCTTCGCTGTGGGATGTACGGTTATTAGTTACGTTTGCTAGTGACCGGAAGAAGTCGTAACTTTCTAAAAGATCTAGAGAATATAGTACGAAGTGATTGCAACTTGAGTGGCTTTTGGAGTCTTTACCTGGTATTGTAATATAGGAAAATTACTTTGTAGGTTCGTAATTTCTAAGAAAAATTAGTATTATTAAATTTAAAAAAAAAGTGCCCTTACGGATAAGTAACTGCATCATGTTACCTAATACAGCTGTTTTACAGCAGAAGGTTTATTTCTTATCACCCGTTATAATGATCAATTGCAATCCAACTTCCGCCATTAAGGAAATAATTACTTTTATTATTCATTAGTTAAAGGAGGAGGCATTTACAGATCTGTATTTTTATGTGAGTTAATATTCCAGTCACTATCCATATAATATTCCAGAATATTGGCATAGTCTTCACTGGCCATAATTGTTATCAGCTGATTCTCATGTTCAATATGTCTAAAGCATATATACTGTACAGATGCGGCAGCACAAAAATAAACGCCTCTGTCTTTGAGGGGACCAAATTACACAAGCGTACGCACAAGATGCTTAAGGTTTTTGCTTGCTTCGACTAAAGTAGACGTTAAGCCATGTTTTTAACTATCCAACAGGATCTAAATTATTTTTGCCGAAACTATAACAAAACTGCTTGCAAACAAGGTACGCAATTTGATCCGACAAATAGACGGACACAACTATTTCTGCGTAGTATGAGTATGACGCAATCTTCAGAGATATTACTAAGCGCATTGATCATTGTTGGAAAACGTTATTTAAAGAAAGATTTTTGCTCATCGAAGCTATAATATGTAATTTTGCTTTTGGGAATCGTATACATTTGGCCATAATAGAACAGAGAAACGTAAATATCTGAGCTGGAATTGATTTTTAACAAGTTATTGGATTATTGTAGATCTTAGTACATACATTTCTTCGAATTCATTGAAAATTTGATTCAGGAAAGCAATTATAATATCCGCGAATATTTGATAACTGCAGAGTACACGCTCTCGTTTATATTAGCTCATTGAAGTTTTCAACACAAAAAATGCGTAAACAGTAGCATTAGCAATAAAGTCTCCATAAGCTGATACGACCCGCAAATTCGCAAACAATTGAGTAGATAATATTTACGTTACATTAGTTGTTAATTAAGACGCTGGTTTGAGGCCGATCAGACGCTAAATAATTTTTTTTTACCAACTACAAAATACGTGTGTAGCATCAAGTTCCATATGGTTCTGGCAGAATAACAATTAACCTTACCCTGTCTCAACGCTGCAGGACTAAATTATAAAGCGTTTTCTTTAGAGTAGAAAAACTTAGTAGCGACAGCACCGGTTAGGCTTGTCTTTTTGTTTTTTTAATGCAGCAATCAGGCTTATTTATGTTCTAATTACTGCAGCAAAAACGTAACGTTCGCCCAATGGTTCGCTAAATTAACTTAAATCACACTGCGTCCGAAGATCATGTTTGCCGAGCTTGCCGCAAAAATTGCAGATGTTTTGCAGGGAATGGTGGATTGCGGCACTTCGCCATCATTTGGACGGAATCTAAACACGTGTACGAAATGGCTTGGAAGCGAGATGTCTTTTGCAGTTAGGCGTGTCTGTCGTCTCTCCGGATGGGTCATTCTGCGGATTTGCGGCTTAGTAGCGTGACACAACTTCTACGAAGTTTCGACATTCGAAACATTTAAGACAAAAGCAGGACAGGTGAATGAGTCCATCATCAGAACACGATGAGTGTGCTAACTAAATGCATAATTCGCTAAAAATTGAGAAACTAATAAGCTTAATTTCATTATTTTCAATTTCAAATTACTAAATCTATCAAAGAACTAATTTTAGAGTCTACGGGTTCTCACATTGCGAGAAGCGATGTTGGCGAACAACTAGAGATTTCGAGCTGCAGGCTGCAGCCTGAAAAATGAGCATCCCTATTGTCTCAAAAGGTACAGTCATAGCAGGCGGTGTTTTAACAATAGTTCTTAGTCTGCCCCGTATGTGTTAATAGATTATACTAGACAGTTTTTAATATGGCAAAGATATTCGCAAGTACCTGCAATAGCTGGCGGCCGTCCACGAGATGTCTGAAGTTCGTTGGCTTTGATATACGATCAGAAGTTACCATTGCGCTGATCTTGTGATCCGACATCGGTGTCAACTTCAAAGTTTGTTTAGGGCCATCTATCTTAGACTGTAGAGGAAAAACTCAAGTTGCGTTTCATCATTAATTCATGTAATTGGATAATAGGCGTTTCACACATATGTAAGATCACCTATTTTATTTACCAGTTAATTATTGATCAAGAAGAAGGCATCACCTTCCTCGCTAATCTAAGTGGAGGCTCTTGACAACTAATCAAATCAATTAGGAATCACCATACAGACAAAGAATGGCTTTAATCTATCCATACGCAAATCGAAAAAAAAATTACGAGAAATTTGAACTGCATGGTAATATACTACAACATTAAAATTATATTTATTTTCTCACAACCACATGAGATGCCAAGCTTGTAAACAATATACTGCTCGTCATAGTAGCGCCTCATAAGCAGCTCTATATATACATATA